ACGAAGCGTCTTATTTCATTAACATCCGAGTATCACGCTAAACTCATTAGTAATTAGTTAAAAATAGCATATCCGAGCTAAGTCTTCTGTTGTCGTTATATTATTGCGAGCCAAGAAGATATCTATACATTATTTATTCCAACTTTAAGGTCAACAAAATTTTACAATGTCTCTAAAAGATATCATTGTTATATTTAGTTTAGACAAGCGGAAAATGGACGCCAGTGCGAAATGAAAAAGGGTTCGTTTTCAACATTGAAAATGAAAGCGGGTAGCCGTGGACATCTGACATTCGACAGACCCATGAGAGCCCTTGTTTGATTACTGATCTCTGACCTGGGACCTGTCAAAAATTCTCTAAGTACAGTTGACTCAATGATTTGGCCTAAATATGTCAGATTGGGATCGCATCTCTCACATATACATATCAAATTTGATAACGTTTTCTTCGCTTGTGCTTATTCGGAAAATTTTACAGACTTGATGGGATTCTCCACACTAAGCATTCTGGTGGTTCACTACTCTCAGATAGAAGTCAGTAAGCTTAACTCCAGGAAACGATATGACTTCAAATGCTTCTTCTGATCTGTGATTTCATCACAACCTCTGCAGCAAAGTTGCCTTCTCTCCACTATTGCTAACAGTTCTTCACACACCCAATGTTTATTTGCATCTACTAACGATGTTTTATGCTATGGCGATTTTAAAGATTAGCAATTTTTTGGAATTCATTAATGATGTCTTATTTGCACAGTTAGATTTGACTGCGCTTTTGTTGTTGTTTACTGCGTGTTCTCATTTAGAAATGTGACATGTCTTATTCGAATTCACCAAAGATTTACATGGCAAGTGTCGTCAGTGAACCAGAATACCTGGCCCCATTTGTATAAAACATCTCAACTTGAGATTTCCTCAAGTCGAGATTTTCCTCAGCTGATATCTCCTAAAAAACGGCTTGTATAAAATTTTCTCAAGGAACAGGAGGAAGGCATCGGCTAGGATGTCCTGAAATTCCTTGAGGAATTTTCATACAAGATATTTTCAAGGAGATATCAGCTGAGGAAAATCTCGACTTGAGGAAATCTCCCGTTGAGATGTTTTATACAAGTGGGGCCTGGTCTTTACTCCTTGTACCGGTTCTTGAGTCTTCATGTGAATAACATTTTGCCCTAGTTTAAATGAATTTTAGTTTGGATTAGGATTTTAATGACATATCGGTACAACAATTTTAGCGTGATTCTTCCCTTTAATCCTTTGTTTCTCCATAGAGATTACTTTCACTTTTGACTTCACTGGCCTTCTCTTAAATACATTTCGCTCGTTTTTATCTCTGTTGTTTCCCTATTTACTCCAGATATCACTCATCATCCGTATCTGTCTGATAGTAGCATCCCTTCTATAATTCTATAAATAAAATATCCTTGAATTTGTCGTCGCCACTTCAGAATATTTTCCTCTAATGACCCAAGGATAAACGATGGAACATGAAGAACATAGATATTATCTTTGGCAGTTCTTAAGATTTAAAACATTAAGGATATCTTATAGATCGTGAAACATGAAAAATGAGAGAGAGAGAGAGAGAGAGAGAGAGAGAGAGAGAGAGAGAGAGAGAGAGAGAGAGACAGACAAAGAGAGACAGAGAGAGACAGAGAGAGAGACAGGGAGAGAGAGAGAGAGAGAGAGAGAATGAGAGAGAGAGAGACTGGCGTTTTTTGTGATTGGAGACGATGTAAAAATTATTACATTGATATTGAAACTCATCTAACATGTCAAACAACCAACGATTTCATTGTTTCATATTATTTTTTTCCTTCCGAAACAAAATAGAAAATACCACGTGGCTCCTTTCAGTAAAAGGTAGGAGCATTTGCTCCGAGAACTTTGGAGGTAAGAGTAGTGATCTTGGCATTGTGCTACCAGTATGTTAATTGATTATCGATTTATTAACTGTAGAGCTTGAAATACCAATGTTTCTTTGAAACTTATTATTGATGCTAATAAAATATATCCTGAAATGTTGAACACAATGACCAAGCGTCCAGTGTCTTTCAAACACTTTGGATTTGCTTTAGTCCAATCCCTTGTGGAAAGGAATATGGCTCGACTAACACCGAGTATTCACTTGTATTTTTGTGTATGTTTAGTAGGGTTGTTCCGGTGATAATGGAGCCTAGGACACGCCCCACCATCCACCCTTTTGTATATTTCTTATATCGGGTCCATAAAGCTGTCTGTATGGGTAAAGACTCATTTGCATACATGGTACACAGTTTCACTTAAAATCCATTGCACTTAATAAAACCAATCTGTCAAGAGATAGTCGTGTTTTAAATAATAAATTACGTGGTAATATTTTCACGAAAAAGCTGAAATATGGTAAGATTTTGAAGCTATTTGGTTCATTTTCAACTGTATTTATTTCTACGGGATACCATGGGTTACGTCCCCTTAGCGCTTATCGCGTTATAGGCACGTGCTCGCACAGGTAGAATGGGGTCAGTCATGGATTAGTGATTTTATCAGATTTCGACTCTGAGACCCGTGCAGTCATGGTTATATAGGTATCTGAGATATAGAGGTTACACATCTAATACGTCGTAATAATGCGGTCCATAACATGTCGGACTTATTTCGAATTTGAATCCGTGATAGCATAAATATTAATGCTCAAAATCACAAACAAATATAACCACGTTCAATGATAATTATAAAAATCCGAGTGTTACAATTCAGGTCAACAATATCTGTTGAATAAAACCTCACATCTTATTATATGAATGCATATGGTCACTTATTTCAAAGGACGCGCCGTAAAACCCCAACTGAGAACCCTGTGGTTTACCTGGACAGGTGTGAACTATAGCCATCTCTTTAGTGGACTAATTTCTCATCGACCCTATGTCCTATATGATTGCACATCACTACAGTCAATATACGAAGCAATCATCTAATTTGGTCAGGGGCGTATGTTAAAGACACCCCTGGATTTGGTTTAAAACACATAAAATTGCGAATCTAGAATTTGAAAATACATTTGAACAGAACAATTGATTATTACTGTAGCAATTTCAATTTGAAGATTAACAATTGAAAACTCTTTATCAAGCACTCGGATCGGAAGGAATCTACATCTACTGTTAACTATATCTTAAATAATCTATTACACTAAGGAAAGAAGGACAATGATTAGAAAGTGATAAATACAGCATTTTTAAAAGACATTTTATTTCTCTACTGTGGCAATGCTTCTATCCAATATAAATACGTAGTACAGAGCAAATCTCGAATTCATTGAACTCCTACAGTTTATTTATGATTTATATTTATAAATAGCGATCATGTTCTTAATTTTCAAGCAACAAGGACGTGATTTTTTTGCATGTCCAATATAATGATATACAATCTACTAAATGCGATACTAATACACCAATACAATTAAATTTTCTTTTAACAAAGTCTTGAAAGTCAACTATGTCAGGTAAAACCAGAAACGTATTTCTACTTTTCCTAGTTGTTTCAAATGCTAGAAAATGCATTTTTGTATCTATTTGGGTTTCTCATTATTATGATTGTGAAGAAAAATGCCAATCATAACGTATAAAATTATATTTTCTGTACAATGATTGTATTATGGAATATTTTGAATTGAAATACTGTATCAATTATTGTTAATTAGCTGTCTTTATATACCATTTTTCTAAAAAAAAAAAAAACAAAAAACAAAAAAAACAAATCTTTTCAAAACAAACAGCATAGTACAAATCTCAGTTTTCAAATTGATCTCGCTAACTTTTGTAACAAATAGTTTCTGTTTAATTGATAGTATCAATGCATGAAACTTAAAGACCCAACCAAAAAAAAAAAAAAAATCTCTATAAACAGCAATATCAATGTATGACTCCATACGAATTCCAACAGCCTTTTGGCTCTTTTGTGTTTTTTATCAGTCTCAAAGGGTGTAGCGGACAATACTAGGGAAATTTCAAAAATTCTATCCATGTATCGAATCTAGTTTGACTTGCCGTGTATATTGCGCGGTATGAGATACATTCACCAAAAATGTCTTCTTTTGACCTTTCCAGACCTATCAACAATCAAACAAGACAGATATATCGAAACATACGTGGTAATTTAGAGCGACATCTCGTTGTATCTTTATGTTGGTGTTGTGTTACCTATTTCCGTGTCAAATTTATTAGAGTTATTTCCCATGCGCTAGCGTACGTCACCAGGGACGCCACATGTCCTTTTCATTTGTGCATTTGAGGCCATGTCTTTCGATTCACAGGGTTGTATACATTACAAAAGAAGATATATTTAAGGGTGACGATAGCTGATTTGATCACCATAAATCCATATCATCAATGCCTTATTCCTCCAGATGTACACGCAAGACGCGAATTTCCAAGACAGTGACTTGTCAGAGGTGCGTTCTACATCCTGCACTCTGTCAGGGTTGTAGTTTACTAATCGGTACATACAGATTCCTTTTTTTCCATGATGTGTCTTATAATCCTTATAAAACCGCTGTTTATCAGCCTTTGTATATCTTTCACAATTATAATAAAGTTATAATATAATGTTATACAGTCACGATAATGCTATGGAGAAAGGCGTGCTTAATGTTGATGGAAACTTCTAGAGTTGAAATATATTGATCAACGTGTCAAAAGCATAAGTTGGTAATGATACATAAACTGAAAAAGGAGTACTAAAAAATTTTCTGTTTTCTTTGAAAAATATGTTATTTTATTCCAGGTGCATGAAAGTCTACATCGGGCCTACAGGACAGAATAGCAATCCTATAAAGATGATAAAATGGTGTTGGAGGGCCTGTATTGTCAGTGTACAAAAAAAATCCATTTATGAATATTTGCAACTGTCTGATTGGATCCAGCATGCCAATCACAATTTTTTAAAAAATAAAGCAAACAAGTTAATATATTTTAGATTGAATAACAAAATTTAATGGTTATAAGTAACAAAATTTGATAATTTTGACCAAAGAAGCATTACAGAAACCATCAACAACTATGGAAGACAAGATCTGTGATAGTGATAATGAGGTAATTAGTCATAAACATCATTCTGCACTTAGGAATGGATTGTCGACTTTCCTCTTAGAGGGCCAATTCTGTGATGTAACACTGGTCACCAAACATCACCGATTTCCATGCCACAAAGTCATTCTAAGTGCATTTTCTTCATTCTTTAAATCAATGTTCACAATTGGAATGAAAGAAACTGTGCAAGATGACATTAATTTGGAAATTTTTGAAGATAACCTTATCAAAAAAATGCTTGATTTTGTCTACAATGGAAAAGTGATGAGTGTGAGCGATACATTTGATTTGTTGCCATTGGCTGTGTACTTCCAAATGGAATCTTTACAAGAAATTTGTGAACAAACTTTAAGCAAAGCAGTCAATCTGGATAATGTGTGCAGTTTATGGAAAACCACAGTGGAGGATTTCCCTCAGCTTACAGATTTACAAAGCACATGCCACAACTATATACTACAAAACTTCTGTAAATTTACAAAAACACACGACTTTCTTGAACTTAAATGTCAAGACTTGATATTTCTTCTTTCTAACAAAAGGCTGCAAGCAACCACAGAAGAATTTGTTTGTATTGCTGTGACTAATTGGTTTCAGCACAACATAACAGAGAGAGAGGAACTTTTATATGAAGTTTTCTGTCATGTTCATTTTCCTTTGTTGAGAATGCAGTTCATTGAGGAAAGTTTTCCATTCTTAAAGGAACCAGCATTACAAAGTATATTGGAAGAAACTAGATTGTTTGCAGAAAATCTGGGCCTTCAAGCTGACTTTGATTCCAAACGATGCGAGTTCCGTCCATGTTATGACCGTGAGAAAGTACTAGTAGTGTTAGGTTATTTTCAGAATTATTCTAACAGTATGGAATTTTGGTGCTATCATTATGGTGACAAAACATGGCAGTTACTGATTCCACCTGGACAGCTGACAGTGGGCTATCAGACTTGTACCTACACACAAACACGCCTACTCCTGACAGCGGGCAACGATTTCCTACAGTTTGATGGCACAAAGAATGACTGGACTGCACTTCCTGATATGGACGAGGCAAGAAAACACCACAGTATGGCTGTAGTAGGTCAGAGCGTGTATGTCCTTGGGGGATATCGAGAGGCTGATATTTGGGGAGGTGGCAATGTCACATTGAAATCTGTGATCAGGTACTCTTTCTCCTGCAGTGAAAATGAGACCTGGGTTGAGTGTGGTTCTCTGGGTCAGCCTGTTGCTAAGGCAGCTACTGCAATCACTCACACAAATATCTACCTCTTTAGTGGTATCTGCTGTGAAAACCCAGACAATGTGTATGATATTGTACAATGTTTTGATACAACTACAAATGAATGTACAGTGATAGACTGTGTCCTGCCAATAGGACAGAGCTTTAACTGGCTACATGCTTATGGCTCTGGAGATAACATATATCTCACAAATGCAAGAAAAATATGGAGATTTTTTGGGGAGAGTGGAGAAAAAAATGGAGAGTATCTTGAGGAAATACACACTTTTGAAAGGGAGGGAACTCTAGCAGGTTTTGTGTCCAGAAGTAACTCGCTGTATTTGTTAGGTATGATGGTTAGGGATTCTGACTCCTTGGAATCTGTTCTTACTAAAGGTATAGCAGAGTTTGACTTATCTACCAAGGAAGTATCCACTTTAGTAGATAAAGCCCTGTTCCTTCCACATGCTTGTCGATGTCACAATCTCATCATCTCTAAAAACATCATGGACAACAACAGGCAGTCCAACTTCTTATGGTGACACAATCAAGTTCTGTCTTACATGCTGATATTGTTCATACATAACATTTTCACAAACACAACTTCATTTGTATCTTTGTATGAAATGATTTGTATTGTCTGACATTCATTACTGTGACCTGATACAGATACCCACATTTAGGACCTGACACAAATACCCATATTTCGGATATGATAATGGTACTCATATTTGGAATCTGCTATAGATACCAATATTTAGGATCTGATATAGACACCCATATTTAGGATCTGACAAAAATACCTACCACATTTTGGATATGAAAGATCTTTCAGATTTAGGATCTGACCAGAACAACTGTCCTATTTAGTATGACAAAGATCCTCACATCTAGGATCCGACAAAAACACCTGTCATATTTAGCATCCGACACAGATTCACATGTTAGGATCAACTGCCCCAAATCCTTACATTTAGGATTGCATAAAAAACACCTGCCCTATTCAGCATCTGACATAGATCCTTACATTAAGGATCTGACAAACTACCAAAAGTTAGGGTATGACACATGTATTCATACATATATTTAGGATCTGACATAAATACCTTCCTATGCATGAGTTTAGGATCTTACACTTATTAAAGATCTGATGTAGATGTAATTAACTTATCAGGGTATGGCAAAGACATCTTATTTTGAACTTGGCAGATGATCTGACATCTGAAACATTGACAAAGACAGATTTTGGGGGGAATTTTGTCTATTTCTCTACATCACCAAAATAAATACAAGTACAAATGCAGTAGGACAAAGTCACTTCAATGAGCTAATATATTGTCTTCAACACTGGCTAAAATCATTATAGATGTACATATGTTGCCTAAACCAATGTGACAATGTCATACATAATGAGTTTAAAGCCTCTTCAAACACTAGCTGGATAATAGGGCAAAGTCAGGTTTATACAGAATGTGACACAGTTGTACAGTGGGAAAAGTTAATTTTATATAAATGGTTTTACCTATCAGACATCGCCTAACACAGTTGCTAAATAGTGTGAAAGATTAAATTAGGTCAGATTAATGAATATATTGTACCATAGGAGATATTTAATAACACTGAAATTATGAATGTGATATTAAAACCTTTTAACTTCACACCAGAAATAAAGATATGCTAACACAAAATGTAAAAATATTTTTATTTTAATCATTTGTACATGGTCGACAATCTAGATCAAGCACTAGATGGTCAATGTGTGGAGCATAGGATTTGACATGCTCAATGTGAATAATTTTGGCTGTCCATAAAATATGATTTTTGTGTATCACAGTGCACAACTCTGATATTTTACTGGCTACATTCTCAGCCCAGCTAAGCCAGTCTTTCCTTCTAACGTCAGAGGTAGAATGTTGTCCATATTTATTCTTGCATGTTTTTTCCACAGATGGATGACTTTCATCAGTACCTACCATAGTAGATTCTCCTAAAGTGTCTTGGTCTTTCCTAGTTCTTTCACTGAACAGATTGCTACCATCAGAAGCATAACCATTGTTTATCAAATTGACATTAACTGCAGTTCCACCTTTCATACATACTGAAGATTCAGATTTATCTCCGGTATCTTCAAAACTAACACTGTAATCAGCATTATGGGCATGCTTGGACGTGACATTACTATGGATATGAAGAAAGCCTCCAGAAGACTTTAGAGCCCTACAGGCCACAGGCCATCCCTCCTCAGAGGAAGGTATCAATCCCAGGTTAACTCTGTCAGCAATGTCCTGTGGACAGGTCTGTCATGAAAAGAAAATCAATAATCAATTCTGGAGTTTTGTCCTGAATGTGTAATCTTAAGTTAGCTTTTTAAAACTAAAGGACAATTCAAATGTTACTAGTCTTGCATCAGAAATTATATTGGTTTACTGTAAATTTGTGTCTGTTCTAGTATGACGTTTTCCAGCTGTCAACTCCAAATAACACAACCACTTGAAAGGATTCCTGTACAGATATTACTAATCCATTTTCTCTGCTATAAGAAGTGCACATCATCAGATATTTAGAAAACTGACACAAAACTTTTTAAATGTTATTTATAGATACATGTAGATAGAAGGTAAAGGTTATTTCATTTCAATTTTGCATCTACCCACAAGGACTTTGTCTCAAATTCTTAACCAATGGTCCATATATACCAACCCTTGTCACTTTGATGCATATATATATAAATACCATGGGTTGGGGATTCCTGCCAAGTTTCCTTGCAGTGACCTAACATAAGTTGTGTACAAGTTGATATGTAAATCAATTTTTCACAAGAACGCTGTTCCATGTTCTTGTTAATTTGCAATGACTATCATATATATCAAAATAACAACAGGAAATGGTATTCTTTTCAGTACATATAAACCATAAACATAAGACAACAACAAGAGGCCCAAGGGGCCTTAACGGTCACCTGAGGAATATATGTCAATAATCTGGGGATTTTAAAATGTTGCAAAAATGTAACAACACTTGTGCAGGACCATGTGTAAAACATCTGTACCAAGTTTGAACATGACCCACCCAATGGTTCTTGAGAGGAAGTCCATAATGTCTTAGCCAAACAGAGGCCAGGGTGGCCATCTTGGATTTTGAATCGCCCTAAAAAGTTAAAACACTTGCCAGGACCTTGTGTAGAACATTCATATCAAGTTTCCCCTTTTCCCCCCTCCTGGGGCCCCTATTGGGGCCGCGCCCTTTTTCTTCGCAAACTTGAAGCGGCTTCCCATTGGGATGCTTTGTGCCAAGTTTGGTCAAAATCCATCTACTGGTTCTTGAGAAGTAGTCATTTAATGAAGGTTTTTACATATGGCCCCTTTTACACCCCTTATGGGCCCCAAAGAGGACATAATCACTTTTTTCAACGTAAATTCATATGTCCTTCACTAAGGGATGCTTTCTATCAAATTTGGTTGAAATCGGTCAAAGTTGAATTTTTGACCCTTTTTAGTGCCCCCTCGTGGAGCTGTTTTTGACCCAATTTTTTTTTTCATTCGCAAACTTTGTAGACCATGCCATAAGGACCCTAAATATCAAATATGAACTTAATCTGACCGTTTGTTCATGACAAGAAGATTTTTTAAAGATTTACCTAATTTTACACCCTTTTCCCCCCTCCTGGGGCCCCTATTGGGGCCATGCCCTTTTTCTTCGCAAATTTGCCAAGTTTGGTCAAAATCTATTCAGTGGTTCTTGAGAAGAAGTCGAATATGTGAAAAGTTAACGACGCACGACGAAAGACAAATCATGATGGCAATAGGTCACCATGAGTCTTCGGCTCAGGCAACCTAAAAATCTGTAGTGATACGTTATTTGCACAAACAGAACCTGAAAAGAATAAATGAAAACTTACAAACAAATGATTTTAGATAACTGTGAAACATTAAGACTGACCTTTCTGTTATCTCCTTGATAAATGGTACATCTATCAGATACATTGTTCAGAACAAGAGTATTCTTCAGGGCATCAATAGCATCTGGGTTCCACTCACAGGCATGGACATGTGCAGCCTTGGCATGGACCAAATAAGGCAATGTGAAATAGCCAATGCCTGAGAAGTTGACAAAAGTCCAGTTTAAAAAAAACTCCATAAACACAGTAGTTCTGAAGATCTTGTCAAGTACATGAATCCTAAAACATCTTAGGATTTTAAGCCAATAAAATACTGACAACTTTCTTGTGTTTATAAGATATAAGATGTCTATGACCTTGGATTTCTCTAGAAGCTGTCAGGATATAATCTTGCACTTCCTACATTTTGACAGCTCTCCATCCCAGTTTCCTACTTTTATAATACATGAAGATGTCGTAACTCTTAGCATTGAAAAAGGCATTATGTACTCTGTCTGATGAGTATCTCTGATCTTACCAGAGGCTTTATCCTTATTCCATTGCTTGCCTCTTCTTGTAATTTCATTTTGCAAACACTCCTGATTTCTATCAAAATAACTTTCCGACAAAACATGGCAATGTACACTTACGAGTTGTGTTTTTAAAGCACAAACAAATAATTCATAATTCTACTTTCTGTATTGTGTACCTTTAATGCACAGAAACGAAACTTGTAAACATTCAAGTTTTGTTGACTTTTGTTTGGAAGTTTGAAAATCATCCATATTATCATTAGTAGCCAAAAGCGATGATAGCATAAGGTAGCCAAACAACCTACAAGAACAAGCTAATTTAAAGGAGTCAAATTTATACTGAAAATTGTTATCGCCACTCTCATAGAAACATATACCTGCATAGAGATCAACAACTGTTTCTCCAGCACAGTTAAAAGCTGCAACTCTCAATTTCTCTGTGATATTGCCTGCACTGAACATACATTTGGTCAGGTCGTAAGTGTACCTGTAAAGGGCAATTGAAAGACACCTATTATGAATGAAAATAAACCATTTCTAAAATTATTACACTATACTTAAAAGTACTTGTTGCATGTTGTATGTGATTAAACAAAATATAATTTCAAGCTGTTCCTAAGTATGGTTGATGAGTTAAAATTACTCAAATATAATTTCAGGAATATCTATCGATCATTGTTTACATGAAACATTATATTACACCAACCTTTTTAAGATGTAATACTTCATTTCCTTCATGAAATTTATTTTTGACAGTGTAGTTAAGATAAACCATCACATTTGCATATTTAGGCCAGATGACTTGGTTATGTCAGTTACCTTAAAACATCAATAAAATGATACTGAGTGCTAACAACATGACCCCATAAAGTCACTGAAATTTTCATTAATTTTGAATGTAACTGGTGTCATATATCTGGAATTACTAAGGTAACCCTGAAATCATGCACAAAATTATTACATTATTGCTTGAAAGCTGAGATAACCCTTTAGATCGATTAAGTTTGTAGTCATATATAAAGATTATACTGTCACCACTTTTACTGCCTATGCATATGTCACTAGTAAAACTCATTTATGACATTATAATCATGATATACTACCACAATTTTCTAAACACTATGGGAAAATTTTGATAGCAGAATACTGAACAAATGAAAAGTTGTACAACTGATGGATTAAATGAATGGTTACCAGTATATCAAAACTTTTACAAAGTTTTACAAATAGATTTAATATCAGCAGTATATAAACAAAAAAGAATATTTTAAAAATGCATCCAACGAAAGTCTCGTTCTGTATAATTGATTGTAATACAGATAGAAAACACTATCAAGAGGACTGTACAACAAATTGCTGTTCAGGGAGACACAATGTAATGTCATGGAGATAAAGCCTACCAATTTTGAAAAACGCCAGTTTAAAACTGTCGGAGGGAATCTCCAGACAAATAAGCTATATCATAATATGTCCCATTAAAATTTTTACTAGATTGTGGCATTACCTGATACCATTGTCTACATGTTCCACCCATCCACTGTCACCAAGCAGTAACATAACTTGTGGTGACCGATATCCATTTGAACTGATGGTTCCCTTTTTTGCTAGTCTGGAGCATCCAAGACTTGTAGCTACAACCTTCCACAGTCCAGGTCCTAAATCTTTCATTAAGTAAATATCAAAACATTTTTCAGTTTTCATGTGAGAATTAAGAGGTACATGTAGCATATCGTAAATACACCAGCTCTAAATGGTCCAAAGTCTACAATATTGTATATTTATCTCAGACTTCTAAATCAGGGATTTTGAAAATTGTTTATCTACCAAGTGGCATTGATTCATTTCTGAAAGAATTGATTTTTTTTTATTTATGTAATTAATGGTGCATGTCTTATATGTATAACTGAGTTCTACTTTAATGTGTTTTAAGCTAAAAGTAGAGCAGAGGACTACAGCACTGTCAAACCCAGGGCACTGTATATCGTGGTCAAACCTGACTCAGCATCATGTAGATGTTAAAAGACATATATCATATGTTTCCCAACCTCGAAAGTTACTTAAGTCTTCTAGAATATAATTATTTTGTCTTAATTCTATACCTGTATATATATATGGGTTGTAAAGACTGTATAATAAATCCAACACACAGTGCTGAAATTCATGAGAGACTGAGGATATTGATGTAACTGAGGTAACTTTTTAGGAGTGTTTCTTCTTGTTGCAAATGTCAAACAAGACATCACAAACAATACCAATCCCTTCACAATTCTAACTGACTCATGTGCAATAACAGATGGTTGATTGCATGAAGTTTTATCTTAATCCGCAAAGAATGAATCTGAAGCTAATAGAGTGCTGACAAGGATTTTCAACAAAACAGTAAATGTAAACTTCACCCTACAACCATGAAATTTTAACTCATTTATGACATTATAGACACTGTGTTAAATACTGTGATTGTTAGATAACATCCCCTTCAGGTGAGAGAAAATTATTACTTCAAGCTGTGTTACCATATTCATCTGGAACTACATGGCTCACAACTGAGACAAACACATATCCTGTGTTACTGAGGAATACATTAAAGCCTGTTGAAAGTGTTTAAATAAAACCAACAGCCAAACATTCCCTATCAGGATTATCAACTGAATGAAAAATTAGAGTTAACATCTCAGTAAGCAAAATCTGCGAAAAGTTACATCTTTTTAAAGAAATGGTTTACATAGTTTACCTTGCCATGTATTAAGTGTGAAAGAGTTTGCTGGAAACACTATCAGATCACCATGTCTTTCCCAATGGGTTGGTATATCCTTTACCAAATTTTGGAAATTTACATCATCTTTTCCCAATAAGTCATGGATCGATGCAACCATACAATCATATGGTATTTGTGCAAGAGCACATTTTGACAAGGGTAACTCCAAACAACCCTTTTCAATGTTAATACCAGTTTTACAAAGAGCGTCAGCAACTGATTCAAAGTTCCCCAAGTCTTTAAATGGTATCGCAATCCTTCCTTTTGAAATTTTCTTTAATCTTCGGCGGCTGTCAAATATTTTGTTCTCTTCTAAAATTTCTCTGAAATAAATATATTCACATGATGTTTGTATTGGCTAATAGTACTATATTAAATATCAAAGAATACATAAATATTTTGAAAAAATGTATGTGCTTTGTGATGGATTTTGATTACATGACTGTCCATATAAGAATAGAATAAATAAACTGTTGTTGACTTATTCTGTTTCCCACCTTACTCTCTGTGCATCACTGGCATTCGATATGAGAACATTATTACTCCTCCCCGGTTTGATCTCTTCCACACTGGCCGCGGCCATTTTGAATCTCGAGTATTCTCGCTGTATTTGGGATTTAAACGAGAAGAAACCGAAGACATTTTGTTTTGCGTCCGAGATATTTCTACCGTAAAAGATCACTATTCCCTAAATATTCGATCATCTCAAAATGTCCAGTCAGATCCAAAGCTTGCAAAAACAACTGGGACAGCTTCGTCTTGAGGCTAATGTGCAACGAATTCCAGTTTCACAAGCAATCGAAGAGTAAGTGAAACCGTTTGGTCGAAAATATCAGGAAACGATATGTAATCGATTCTAATTTGATTATTATGCTTGTATATAGTATCATTAAAGGGTTGGTATTTGAATCGGGGCACTCTTTTGTATGCTACAGTTAAAATCCGATGAAAGTAATCTTTATCTATAGTCGTAAACGGTGTCTTGATTGTAAGTTGGCATCTTTTGGGGAAGACATGTCATTCATATCATTATGATTCATACGGTCTTTGTTCAACGGATCAAGTTGCATGGCATGCATATATAGAAGGGGCGTGGTCATATAAGTTATATATTTTCTTACAAGCGATCTGAAAATACATGGAAAATAATCATTGCCCTGCTTTTCTATACAATTATCCCCGTTTAATTAGGAGGCACACTTATGAAAATGTCATGCTTTGTAATGAATTACATTGGAACTAAGTATAAACTTCTATATTTTTTTTGCTTGATTTCCACTTGTACATGAAACTCCGAAAAAGAACACAAAAGCTAGATAGTGATTTTTGGGACTTGGATATTTAAATCTGAGACTACACTACTGCTTTTCCAGCTGTTGAACTCAACCAGATTTTGAGAACCAACTATATGAGCAAGTCTTTGGTGTCATAAAATATTTATTAGAAAAATTCCTTTCTGTTTAAATAATGTATTGTCATGAATATCCAGTTTGAAAATATACAAAACCTTAATCTACAGATGAAAGATGAATACAATTTATATTTTAATTAAAAGAAAATTAATAAAAAAAATAAAACAAGACAATCCAAACACAAGATAAAGCTTTGGTAAAAACATTTGAACAAAACTACTGCGGTCTTTGACATAGGCTGCTTTATGTTGTATTCTACCATTTTATGCTGTTATGTGGCAAGAATCGCTTACATAGAAGTCTTATATACAAAATTAAAGAAAAACAGAAGGAAGGGGGCTTAATGAGTGGAACAGCCATTGATGACTCTTCACAACAAATAGAAAATTTTCCTCTGCAGCAATACAAATTTCCCTATGAAAGAAAAATTAAACAGAAACCTTTTCACAGATTATCATATTTTATCTGATTGCAAATTTATTCTGTGTCTTGTCTGATTAATATAATAAACAAAATGTAATTATGTATCCATGTGCTTGGCAGTTACTGTAACATTTTCATGCACAAGTTCAAAGGACAATGTTTCCATGTTAGTATGGTAAACATTTATTTAGTAATGTGGTATAGTGATGAAACTTTGCAAGTGTAAATATATATATATATATATATATAGCAAATAGAATGTCAGCTGATGGTCACGATTGGTATTATTTTTATGTTTTTTTATTCCAGAATAATGAACTACACTAACCAACATGCCCCTGAAGATGGCTTGGTGAACGGAGTGATACAGTCTGTGAATCCATTCAGAGACCAGAAAAGTTGCATCATAGTCTGATTTAGGTAGGGTTGGAACATTAACTTCAGTTCCAGATATGGGTTCGTAATCTATTCTAGGTTTCTGACTGTCTTTCAAAATCTACCAACATCATTACCTTACATTATGTTAGCATGTGTGCATGTACACCAGGACAGCCAACCTTAATTTTAAAATGATAAGCTGTTTCATACAGGTGTCTTTATCTAGTAGTAACCCCAGGTATGGTTATAAACCTATCCATTTATATTACTGTTCTAATGATTAACAAATCACTAAAGTTCAAATTCCAGTTCAAACATACTTGATTCATTGCAGGATAAATACAAATACATTTGTTTATGATATTGCTACAAGCTTTCCTACTTTACACATTTTCAACATATGATATATATTTATAATTTGAAGTTGGGAACTATAAAAAAGGTATTGAAAGCATCAGTAGAATTTTGATATCCAGAAATTTAACATTTATATATTAATATAAAAAGTCATTTTGGATGGATTGCAGAAGTGTTAGAAGTATTAAAATGATTTGATACTTTATATAATAACTTGATGTCAATAACTTAACTATTGTAACAGATGTTCTATGTTTGTTCAAAAAAGGTTATTTTAATGAAGTTAAAATATGCTGTGATATTGTGTTACTTGTTATAAATAATTTTAGATTTGAAATTAACTATATGTTGTTTTGATTTTTATAGATATACCAGTATTGCTGATCATCCATTAGTGTTCAGACCTCTAAAAATCCAGGAAATGAAACAATCTGCAGCTGTTGAAGAAAATTTGGGCATCGTGCAACAATTTGTGTTAAAACATTTTTTTAAAGAAGACTTTTGTTCATCTCACAACATTTTACCATTTGACTACAAATAACTGTCTTATGTTGGACTGTATGCGAGTCAGTTGAGATGGTCTTGCAACACTTTTACTATGAGACTCTTATGTCTTTTTTAAATCATTTATTCTAATTATAAATTTCGTATTTCTTTGTATTTTAGATTTATGATAATCTGCATATTAAATACATTGTAACATGTTTTGCTAAGATTCTCCCTCTCTTGCTAAGTGTTTCATAATGAGATTTTTTCACTAGTTCTTTATGCCTTAGATTGATCTGCTAAAATTAAACAAAGCATTTTTTGTTGTCATTTACACATGATAGTATGATACTCAAATTTCACTTTCATTCAAATTTTGACTGATGTCTGTTTTTATGAAGAAATCTCTGTATCTATAGAACATATATATTTTCTTTTCTATTTATTCTGGTAAGCTGACAATTGAAGAAACTGCTGCATTGAAATTAGATGTACAAGTATAATGCTACTGTATCCTCCTGTGTTCATGGACATATCTACAATGATATGTATCAAACCATGACCACTGAGACACATTTTGCTGAACCAACTAGACATTTATTTCTACAACAACGTTGAATCAGAGTGAAGCTTTAAATTGTCGAACTCTAACATTTGATTAAGGAGAGATAATTTAGACAGAATTTCTGTCTTTCTAAACTGGAAATTCACTGTTGCACATGTACAGGGCATATCCATTATATTAAATCCAGGAACCAAACAAGGAACCAAAATATATTATCAAATCTATAAATCAACAGTTGTACAGTACTTGTTGAATCAAATTTTTCTTCGAATATCATAGACATCTCTCTTGTATCATGGGATTTAAATCTTATATTTGGGAGTTAAAAATAATGTTTCGGGGTAATAGGGATGCAATTCATATGAAACTCTATCCTTGTAGTTTTCATCCTTTTATAATGTGTGTGTGCCTGTTTCAGCTATTTTTTTCAAAATTGAATGGGTCCAAAGAAGACAAAACTGTATTAAAGTAGAGAACAAGTGATAATGAAATTAGGTTAATGACCACCGTTCAGATCTGTATTCAAGTAATGTCTGTCTCATGTTATCCTTTTATAGCAAATGGAATGTAATGAAAAGTATTTTAACATCAAAATTGAGAAGAATTTACAGCAAAATACCTCTGTCTGATGTATTTGTGTAGTGTCCATTCATTTGCTTTCTAAGCTGAAGTACATATGTTTTGTTGTGCATACTGCATCATATTTAACTTATATGTTTTACTGTGGATAATGTATTTGTTTTAGTACAATAATAAAATAAAACGGGAAAAAAGATTATTGTTCATTTAGTCTTTGAAATGATTTTGTTAAACTGCACTAGTCAGCTCTGGAATGTATATTCAAAGCCTGTCTTCCTTTGTCCACTAACTACCTAGTTCAGCTGAATTTTGGTTTTGAGGATAGATCCTGATGGATATGCAGATGTTAATACAGGACATGACAGTTTTTGTATTTCCAGAAAGTCTGTCCTTATTTCATAAACAACTCTGGTCCAACAGGTCAAACCACTCTGACTGATAAACAGAAACAGCCCTGGTAATGCACACAGAAAGCAAGTCAGGGTCAAAATTGTGATGATGATGATGATGAAGTCCGCACTTGTAACATGTTAATAATAAAGATCTCTCAGTTGTCAACATACTGGGGCAATATTAGAAATCTAATCACATTTTCCCTGAAATCTGAAGGATCAAAGATAGGTAGATATGAAATGTCAGACCAAAATGTCAGAACTTGTCACAGTGTCAAATAGGCATCAAGACCACTGATTGACACAATATCTGTTCATCCTCAGCCAAATAAGAAAAATAATGATACACTGTAATGAAATGAATACAAATGTGAAAATTAATAAGAAAATAGGTCTTGTCAAGATGCCACTAAGAAAGCATTTTTACCTAAGTTCACCAAATTAAAATGAAATTGGTCGAAACGTGATTGAGGTTATCTGATCAAGTAAAAAATGCTGGAAGGAACAAAGGGCAATAACTCAACCGAAATTGTTGAGACCAGAATACCACAGAAGAAAAATTCCTGTTTCGGTGATAAAACATAAAGTCAAACGTGATCAGTAGACAAAGAAAAATGATACCTCTTGATAAAATTAACTTTTGAAATGGTTGAATCAAATTGTTAGACTCGATTAACACAATTTTATGGTGTTTTTTTACCCTATGGTCATAAAGCTATAGCTTGAAGAAAAACCGGGAATACCAGTATATAAGATTGAGGTCTATTTTAGATATGGAAAAATGTAGGACAGTACCTCCTTCAAAAGATAAATTGGATGCAATCATGAAAACAAGTTCATGTCATCCAGAGGAACTTGTTTCTATCAGTTAGCAATAGTATTTGTGTCCAGCATTACTGCGGTTTACTGATACATAAAAACAAGCTCTTATGATTTAACATGTTCTCAGTTTGCTGTGCACAGATTTTCACCTTGGGTTGTGGAGTCCAATGCCCTAGCAACTGATCTAGCTTACAGTCTTCTATAAAGTCTACCAATTTGGAAGAGAACTTTTGTACACTGTGGAAGCTGATCTCACACAAGTGGATGATCTGTGTACTAATTAGTATTCCATTGGTTAACCAAAACACCTGTTACTTAAGGGGATTTAAGCTAGATGCAATTCTTTTGACAGTCACATCAGCAGGGTATTCTATTGTTTGAGAGCTTAATTATATTAATGGTAGTACAGCCACACCCACTCATTTAGATGTTTACAATATGTAGTACAGCCACACCCACTCATTTAGATGTTTACAATATGTAGTACAGCCACACTCACTCATTTAGATGTTTACAATATATAGTACAGCCACACCCACTCATTAAGATGTTAACAATATGTACTTCTATAATTATCCTGAAATAAGCAGCATGGATTGGGCTTAATCTTGGAAAAAGCTAATGCTGAAGTCATCTGGTTGGTCATCACTAATTGCAGTAATCGTGGTGACCTTTTTTGATTGTGTGTTCTCTAAAGTAACTATAGTAACTATATTAAGTTTCTCCACCAGTAAACTGCTGCAAAGTAATTGTATTTCAGCTGAAATAATGTTGCACAAGGCTGAGATCGAAATAACCAATGGGTACTTGACAAGAGAATAATCCCACACAGATAGGACAACAAGTTGATGCCAAAAAGGGTTAAATCATACAGTTTTGCCAAACGAGGCCTAAGAATCTTCTCAATACAAAATAGGGATAAGGATCTACACATGGCAATTACATGGCAAATTAATTTTTTTTTATAGGATTTTTCCCAAATCTGGCAGAAATGAGACATTCAAAATCTTGGCTGGACAAATTACTGACCACCTAATGGGGTTTTATCATCTGGATGGAATGATCCATAAAGGTTACAAAATGAAGGTGAGAATTTTTGGTAAAAGTCTTCTCAGCGTTTTGCTATTTCGCTAAAAAGAGGAGAGCCAGAATTACTGATATGGATAGAAAGCACTGATCGGCAAAATTAAGCTCATCATGACAATGATTCTTAGAAAATGGTGTAAGTTTGAAGTAATTCCTGTGACATTAAAAGGCCGTGGTAGTTTTAGATTAAGAAATTATCCTAAATGTCATGGTCTTTTATTAAAGAAATTTTTAACACTTTATCCTATCCGAGGAAATTGCCTTGTCTATATATGAATGGACAAACTGGTTCAGCCACAATTGGTATACACTAAAAGACAATACTGGTCAGTAAGAGTAGGTCCGCCCTTATTTCATCAACAAACAACCCTGGTCCAACTGGTCAAACCTGAAAAAGGAAAGCCTATTTTAATGCCCCCGCATTCTGACTTATCAGAGTTACTGCTCTTCATTTCAATCTATCTGATTGAATAGCAGTATGCTTGACAGCCGAAGGGGGTGACCCTGCCCAGAAGCAGAGAAGATTCTTAGATTCTTTAATTCTTTGATATGCTTGACCCCGGTTGCTTTAACAAAGGGTCATGGTCAATTACTTAAACTTTATTGTACTCTATTTCATGTTCCTGCTGACCATATACCCCCACTTTAGGATACTCTTAAAAATTCATTATACATATTTGACCCATGTGAGCTTCAACAAAAGCCAAAGATATTTACATGAGACCTCATAGCACATCAATATCCCAGGTACCTACGAAAGTTCTTCATAGTAAAGTTGACAAGAGACAGAGGAATATGTCACTATACCGTAGCTCACTTCATAACATGTGAGCTAAATAAACAATATGAAAATTTTGATTTTGCTGATTGTAGCAATCATCTACAAGTTCCAAAATATACCCTTCTCCCCTTAAAGCACATTATTCATTCGAAGTTTAGTCTGCTTTCCCCAAGACTGCTTAAGCTGTGATAGAATTTTTATGATTATCCATCATGGAATCCTTGATAGCATACGATCCTGACAGAATGACGGTGCATTCCAATAATCAGTAATCCAGTATATACCTTTGCTTCTGACTTAAATCCTCAATTGCACCTGGTACGTACCTCAATCAAAATGAGAGGAGCCTTTCGCATGTCATCCACAGCAATAAGGGGAAAACATCTCGACTAAAGTCAAGACATTGAAAGCACAAAATAGTCCATTTCTAAGCACCTTCAAAACAAATACTACCACACAGGAAGGGTACATCAAACTATTCACCTAGTATCCTTGTCTAAGGATATGTAGGCCAACACTGTAATTGAATGAGATGTGGTTGCCTTTTTACATCAAGGATACATATCTAACCATACACCATGCACCATTTGCATAATTATGAAAAACAGAAAACATTTCTTTTTGTAATAAAATGTATGTTTTTATTCATTGAACATATTCTTACATGTTTCCTTTATCTGTATCAAGTATTCTGTATTTGCATAATAATTGTGAGGCTATTTACAGTACCATTTCTCATGTGCACTTAACCATTATGATCCACGTAGGCAGATTCACCTTTAGTAGTTAATTAGAATTCCACACTAGTTGTAGTGAAAACCATCCTACAGCATGCAAGTAAACCACCCATCCATGCAAATGGACTTTCATTTGTTTATGTAACATAAGTTAAGAGGCTGTTTGACATGCAAATGAGGGGGAAGTAACTCCTGAAAGGGTAGGAAGAAAGCAATGTGGAATGTTTTGTAATGAAAAATAAAAGTAAACTACAAAAGGTCATACCAAGGTTTAAGAAGCATGAAAAGCATTTCAACAAAGTTCATTAATAAAGAGTGATATCTGATACAGGTGTGAAGTCCATTAATACCACATAAAGAGGATTACCTATCGACATTCACCCAAGCTGCTTTTTTTTTAAATTCATAAATCCCCCATGAACATCTAGTATGAGATGTATATATTTCTGATAATGATCTCCACCAAAATACTCTGTTTATGGTTATATGTATAAATGATTGGGTTTATGTTTCTAGCAGTGTTCTCCATAGAGTGACAGTTTCATTTCATTTGCTTAATAACATAAAGAAAAAAAAATCAACATACATCAACAAACAAAACAAATGTATTTCTATTCCACCAAGCACATATGACAGGGTCTTCAGGAGATTACTAACATCTGATGATGATTTTCTATCTGGACCTTTAAGCATGAATACTCACTTTGAATGTTATAAAATAAATTGGATCATACATTCCTGCCAGGTATTTCAAAACTTCACAGGCGTATCCTACAGTAGATTCTTGCCAACGATAAACAAACCTGATCTACTTCCTCAATTAAATACATTCAAGAGATTATCTGAATTGATTCACCCTTAGGAAGGAAGTTTCCAATTTTAGATGAATGTTCAAATTTGAGATAAAACTACTAGCAACCAGCAAGGGTATACATTATCTTGTATGTATGATATTGCAGAATAATCACCAGAGAACAAATTACTTATGTGGAGAATTCAGGTGACATTCTCCAGACAAGAGCACTGCATGACAAATATTTCTGTATTAATTCTGAAACTAAATAGGGGACAGTAGGAATCAGCTTTCAGGGGACTTGTCACCACTGTAAATTTATTATGGTACTTCCATCCAATTGACTTAACTTTCTTCAATTTATTTTTCTCTAAACTTGTTTAGTATCGTAAAATACTTCAATTTTGACGTTGCAGAAATGCATGTTCCAAAGTTTAAGGGTATAATTAAACTTTCCATCCCTGTTATACATTGAACCAGTTTGGCATACTTTATGATATCTAAATCAAGAAAACTGCCTTATTGTGAACAAAAACAAACTAACCCCATCCTTGCAAAGGGGGAATAACTGGTAAGAAGACTGAAGCATTCAATCACAAGCCTAAAAATAGCCATGTGATGTGCAGAAATATATGGTTTTCTGTGGTAATAGATAGAAACTTTAAATATATAGTGTATACCAGTTATCATTTTTTACAACAAAAGAAAACACTGCTTTTCAAACAATTAACTTGCTACCTTAAATGGTGGAGAAAATAAAACCGAGTGAAGAAAATACAAATAAAATTTTTCTATGAAGTAATGTTTATAAATTGGGAAAGAGTTCATGCGTGTGATGTACTCTATCGGCTAATTGTAACCTATTGACTTGATACTGGCGCAATGTTTTCAGTTTTATATATCATATATATACATTGCAACATAATATTTCTAACAAAGGAGAAAAAAAAATTAACTTAAGACTGTGGATTACATTTCTAAATACCTGTATATTTCATAATATGTTAATGGCACATAAAAAAATGAAGTTGAGATTAACAGAGTTCCAATGCTAAAACATTATTAATTCTGTAAAGGTCAATTTTAAATCACGATTCTTCTAACACCAGAACAGAGAAAAATTATACACATTTTTCATTAATCAATTACAATAATTGGGGAATACTTTGAGACAACACTATGACTTCATACAAGAGAGTAACATATTAACATATATGATATTACATAAGAATACTGGTGAGGAATTGGGTTGTACACAGGAAATACATTGTACTCATGTTCACTGAAAGCATGCATAAAAGTAATGAAGTGAAAATTACTTAGTAGGTGATTTTTCCCCCCGATTATTTTTAAAAAAATTATTTGACTTGTATGTTCTGAAATTATTGATTCAAGCAGCATAAAAAAACCTGCATCTTTGTAAGGTGAAATTACATTCAACTCCTAAACTAATTACAAAATGTTTACATACAGAAAATTAATCATATGACATATTAACACAGCTACATATGCTAAATGTCTTTAACAAGTAACATTGTAACTTTGTAGGATTTATATAAATTCAACTACTATACACATATATCATTAAGGATAAGCATTTCAAATCATACTTGGCTCATGTACATTAACAATGGAAAATAAGAACATATATAACAGTTGATAAGACGGAAAAGCAAGGACCTTCAACAATCTGAAAGTCAAAGCAACGACCTTAAACTTACATTTAAAGACTTGTCCAAGCATGTGTAATGCATGTGCATCACTAAAATAAATTCATTGCAGGCTTCCCCTTTTACTCTGACAGAAATATGACTAGATCACTAGTCCCCAATCACACACAAAAACTCCCCAAAACAGTGTTATATGCACATAAATAAATTAAATAAAGAAAATAATATATTACATGAGCACTCTTAATATTCCAAATGCCTATAGCTAGCTAGGATTTTCTGACAATTGAGTTGACAAAATCCTTTCAAATCTCATTAATAAAACCTGTTCGTTTTCCTTCTTGCACTCTGAAGGCACTTTGTATGAACCATCAGAAAATCATAAATTTATACTGTAGGCTGTTCTATAATTATATATAAATCAATTTCCTACTAAATCGGAGTTAAAGTTAGTGTTGGTATTACAAAGTAACATATTTTCCTCATGAAACCTAACTAAATCTTTAATTATATTTCATACTACTGTGCTATGAATGGAGTTCAATTTCTCAAATTTCAACGTTAATGTGTTGCCTTGATTTCCTGTCATTCAGACAAACTTGTTTTCAGATTTTGTTTTTGATTACTGGTAAAGTGGTTCAGTTTTTATTAACACGTAATGTTTTCATTGATATAAAAAGTTACCTAAATCATAATTATTAATCAACATAAGCTGCCATTTCAATAAGCCATTCATTATGGTAAAACACCAGCAAACATTTGCACAAAGCAGAGGGCATCTCCAAACCTTTCTCCAGTGTTCTATTCCAGGATATAATCATTTAAACTTTAACTCTAATGCTATTTTTATTATTTTATATTTCTTTAAAATTGTGAAGCAATGAAAAATTTGCCTACTTTGAAATGTCACATTTTCTGAGGTAAACAACAAATACAAGAACTGTTCCACTTACACTTTCCAGGTACCTGAAGAATGATCTGACAGATGGGTTATTTGTAAAATAGAATCCAGAATCATGTTTACCTTTAACTACTACCCTTGCTTTTGCAACATGTTCTGCTTTAGGACAAATGTAGCATAAAGTGATAGAAATTCCTCATAAACACTTCTTATCCAGGACAAATTGTTTTCATTCATCAAAAACATAAAGACTTCAGGAACACTTGGAGAGATTCTATTTCTATGTATGTCCTTGGATTTTCTTTTTGAATTTTCTTTCGGCTTTTAAAACAGTATTGCATACCAATCTCATATATCATATACACTGTTAGTGTATTAGAGCTGTAAGAATTTGTTTAAATCTAAAAGTGTTTAATATAAAAAAATATCTATTGATTACCTGGAATATGATTATTGAATTTTTTTTTCATGTTCTGCTTGTTTATTTGTTTATTCAGCATGTTCCTTGGATATTTTTTGAAGTTGCAACCTGTTGGAAACTGGGAATGTTTGTGTGTCAAAAAGTAGGAGTAAAACTGGGAACAGATACTGCTGTATTTTGTGTCAACACATAAAAATATCGGATTTTAAGATTTTGGGAAGAAAAATAAACATCTTGCACAATTCAGGATGGGGCCTAAATACATAGGCAGAAAAACGGAGTTTTATATTACTCAGGTAGATTATAACACAAATAATGTGAAGAAAAGATACCCAGAATGCTTACAGAGTGATCTGAAGTGTTTACTGGCAGCAATCCACAGTATCATTTTCCAATGAAAACATTCAATGTAGTATTTGCAATAAGAATGAAAATTGCACTAGAATCCATCAGAAAATGAATACACAAAAACAAACACCAAGATACAGGGGTAGGTCAATATGAGGCAATCAGACTTATAAAAATTGTTAACTTAATAGTATTTAGATTGCCAAGCTTAAAGTGCAGCACAATTTTTTTCAAGGTACCAATTTTTTTTAATTTCATTTTTACTGTACTTCTAGTATTGAATCAATATTAATGATTACTACAATCGAACAAGAAATTCTAAGTTTTGGACATCTCTCATCATCATTTAAACAGACAAATGATAATTGATTTAGTATTATTACTAACAGTGCAGCAAGCATTTCTCTACCATTGATGATATATATTTAAGCGTTAATACTTTTCTAAAAAAAGAATTCTGCCCTTAGACTAAAAATAAGGAAAGATTTTAAAATATTAAGATAAAACCAGACAGTATGTGAATTTTATTACATTAGGTTAGCCAAAGAATGAAAGGAAACCAAAAAACCAGCTGTTTCATTTTAAAATGCTTCTATGTTACGTTCCGTCAATTAGATCCTTAAGAGTTTTTCTATAAAGTTTGTTTCATTACTGGATACTCGTCACAGAGTAATGTTTGTGAACCAGTAACTGTAATTCAGATTTTGAACACATCAAAGTTTGATGATTAAAACAAGGTTAGATGAATGATTTATCACTTGTCTCCCTGGCTACTCTAGATAAAAAATTTAATGATTTTTTTTTGAAGTGGCAACAGCAGCATTTAGTTAACAAAATTTTCATCTCAAAGTTACAAAATGAGAAAACAACATCATGAAACCATATTAAATTTTTAGGTAAGTCTAGTTTTCTAACACATATTCAAAATGTTTAACTTAGAAGACACCATTGTATTAAACTAACAATCACAAAGCCTGACCGACATGTCTTGGAGTAAGCGTTAATGAAAATGAAAGACTTTATGTGAAAAACACAAGGGTTATGCTACACATGACCTAACCTAAACATTATAAAAATGTTATATCAAAGTTACACCACACAAGTGCTTTTTTCCCTAAAGTTTTTTAGACTACAAGCATACAATACAATCCTTATGCTCCAAACATATTCCATAATAGTTAATATATGTACATCATATAATCAATTATTTTCAGAGAGGTCTTACACCCAACGCGAGTGAAGATCTTTAAATGACATAACTAAATGTTTAAAATACAACATCAGAGTAAGCACCAAGATTTTTTTTAATCTCGAAGCCTGGAACACAATCATCCCCTTAATACCAAGAGCAACCTATATGTCACAGGAGAAATGTTTAACAAACAGGCATAATGGAAACAAGAATTGGGGTATATTCCTTAATCAGCACTAGAATGCAATTAACAATTCCACACCAAAGGAGTAAAAGTAAGCATATCTAAATTCCTTCCTTGTCTTTTCTTCCCTGTTAATCTAATTCCACTTTTATTTTCTTATATTACAAACTTGCAAGGTCTCCTTTTGATGCAACCAACATCTGAAGATGTCATTGTGTAAGACTCCTCTGAATGGGTTTATAGAGAAATCCTACATTACATCGGTTGCCTTATCAACGGGAACTAGACCGGTAGACTTAGTATGAGAGGATATGGATGAGGCTGACCGAATATTCACCTTACAGTGTTCATTTGCTTGTTGTAAGGTTGCCTTGTATCACGGATGGAAGGTATTAATATATAGATTTCTCTTAACAAAAGCTTGTACATGTATTCCCATATGGAAATTCTCCTAAAATAACAATAAAAATATACCCACATTAACAAAATTCTGATTAAAAAACACAATCTCTCTCTTCTCATATACACATGCTCTCTCATGCACAAGCATCATTACTAGAGGTAACAGTCAGCCACATTCATCAAAGTGTGCCAGTTCTTCAAAACAGAAAAGAGGAAAAAAACTAGACTTGTATGTATACATGTTCATATAATGAAGTACAATGCAGTTACAGTAGTTTTCTTTAGAAGGTATTTATGGTGGAAACTTCTACTTGTTCTGGTCAACTTGAGCTCTTCTTAACACCGATCTCAATGTGCATTGTATGTATCTATATTTTTCCTCTGGTGTTTACAAAGTTTTGTTTGTGGTCTAAACACCTCCATGTCACATCATGTGTCCAATACATACATCTCCAAATCTTTCTTGCCAAGACAATACACCACTTGATCTGATTCTATTGGCAAAGCAGACTCCACACAGCTTATATTTCCTCATCATGAATATCGTAGTAAAAACATTTTTGTATTAAAAATGTCTCCTTCTGATCAGTTCTCTTAGGTCACGACTTGTGGTTGGATTTGAGCCACAAAAGCCCTTCATACAGTCCTTCACCGGTGGTGGCACATGAAGGTTGAACATACCAATTCCTGTCTCGCATCCTTGTCAGTCCAAGCTTTTCTTGTATTTCGTGGGGTTTCATCGCTAACAAATTCAACCATATATAATTTTTACAATAAACATTTGAAACTTAACAACTTTTTTATGTCACATTAACTTTTGCTATATAAATACTTCACAAGAGGGGTTCTAATTATCATTTACTGCTATGTCTAATGATAGAATAAAATAGTGTGAAATAGTTACACAAGATGTAACTTTAAAATAAAATAGAGTACATCATAGCCAATTTCATAAAAACAGAAAACCAAATTTTAGAACAATTAAAAAAAAGAAAATCTTAACGAAAATTACAGTAGTAAACAGTTTTTAAAGCAATTCTCCAAAACTGAGAAGAATACAGGTACATGACGTTGAACTATGATACTAACCATCAGGTAAATCTTGTTTATTAGCAAATACTAATATAATGGCTTCCTTCATCTCCCGGTCATTTATGATTTTGTGCAGCTCCTGGCGTGCCTCATCTACTCTATCCCGGTCAGCACAGTCAACTACAAATATGAGCCCCTGGGTACCGGCATAGTAGTGACGCCATAATGGCCGTATCTTGTCCTGACCACCTACATCCTATCAAGAAAATAAGAGAATATAATTTACGAAACACTTTATAAATAAGTGAATAGTTTTCTTTATGTCAATATAGGTCTCGCAAATAAATTCTTTATAGGACTGGCCTTTGAATTTCAAGGACTGCACTGAACAATTGCATCCCTAATTAAGCCCAATCACTTACTACCACAGAGTCTATTTCATGTTACCAATATACATATACACTAAACATGAAGCAGGCATTTATTTAAAGAAAAATCATGATTGGGGAAAATGTAATATTACCAGTTATAATGCAATAAAGTTATACACAAGTTGATAGTCTTCCATTCCTGGAAACATTTGACTACCAACAATATACACGTGTATTTGACAACTGACCTTCAATGAGTTGGAAAATATTGTGTGCTATATACCTGGCTATTAAGCATAAAAGTGGTAACAACATGTATTCTCATGTATGGCATTTCACACTTCAATTTAAAGGAGGACAGAATTAGTATTTCTCTCGACTATGCTTAGGACCAATTTTCACTCTTCTGTCTCCCAGAAGTTTTGTGAAGTATAAGCTTTCCTGAAAACAGCTTTTGTTTAAAATGTTGGAAATAGGAATGTAATAAGACATTCTTTTTGTGATTAATTAAAATATACAAATCTGAGGCGTTAAGTGGATGACGTAGACTAACACATAATAAAAGATTGTAAAATTTACAAAGCATGCACTGTCAACCACTTAAAACAGCTGAATCATGTACAAACACCGGTACTTGATTCATTGTGTATGTGTATAGAAATACATCTCGACACTGTCACTCCCTGAAATTTCGTGTTAAGACTCAATTGGCTTGTATCATTATTGGTATCCAGAGTTATTTCAATTGATAGATCAGTCCATTAATAACAGCTAAATGCCAGACATTCACACAAATATCCACAACAGATAAATTATACAATGATAATCCATGTTGCTGTTCAGATCAGTGTTAATGCAGAAGAACAAATTTTCACCTGTCAATCTGCATTATGTGATTGATAATTGTAGTTACAGATTCTTCAAAATTAGCATTTCAGTTCTGCTTTATAGGCAATATGTATACATAGCTCAAGGTTAGCACTTCGTATTTCATAAATGGCATCTTTATAGATTAAAACAAGAGCAATCACTGAATACCAAGCTTACTTGTAGCAGTCTGCGTTGCAAAAATACTTCAATTTAGTATCATTGACTTTTTCCCTATAAATGATCTTTATACACTTCATGTTTTATTAGAAAAAAAATGTAAATTTTTTGTGTTACAACATATATGTCAGTTAACTGTGAGATTAAGAAGATGAAATAACCTTTGACAGAGGCACTTTGACAAGCGTATACACCACAACACACATGTATAGTAGAGTACTCAAAATAAATTTCATAAAATAATCCTGGTTCAACGAAAAAAATCTAAAGGTGAAAACACAATATGACAGGTAGCAATACGTTTGAAAATCTAACCAACCTCTTAATATATAATGTACACACAATACATACAACCCTTAACTTAAACCCTAATTCTTATTTCATAGAGATAACCTCATCAGTTGTAATGACCTTCAAATTATGGAATTTTCAATTTGACTTTAAACATGAGCTCTTTATCTGAAGATGTCTCCAGCACCAGGACTGTGTACATGTATTACAAAATGTTTTCAAAATCAAAACACTGAGCTCCATCTACCATTTTTGGTAACTAAATATCAGTGTCCTGTTTTTTCCTTCAGTAAAATAGATTTTGATTCATCAGAGAACATCACTGTCAACTTTTAAGTGGCATAAAAGAATATGCAAAACAAAACATTGATAAAATCTTCGATAAAGTTTCATAACTGAATAATACAATTATATTTTAGAAACAAAGAAAAATATGGAAACAGTAAAACTGCAAGTTGTTCCAATTTGGTTTGGGAAGACATATGTATTATACCAAGTTTACAACATTCAAGGATAATAGTCTCAGAGTTACTAATTAGGGCTGTCACTGACTCATCTTTAATTAATCTGGAACAGCATTATTAAATTTTTCACTTCCATGATCAGTGATGTGTATCATTCATTTCAATTTTTTTTTTGAACATTGTACACTTTTTATAATGGAAGTAATAATTAAGCTATGATGATATTGTGAAGGGAGCTGCACAGTTAGAAATGGAGGACAATTGCCCTATTGGCACAAAAAGTGGCCAACATATACATCAGTTTACTGGTAAAATGATGAAACATCACACCAGCCTTAATCTTGTTTTTCAACCTCATGACTGATACTTGTTCTATGTATTTCATAATTTTTTTTAAAAATATGAACAAGGAATTTATCGATGAAACACTGACAGTCCTAAAACAGCCATTAATACTTACCCATACACAGAATTTGACATTATTAAACCTTACTGTCTCCACATTAAAGCCCACTGTTGGTATAGTTGTTACATTCGAATCTAATTTTAATTTATATAAGACAGCTGGAAAGATGTTAAGGATGGAAATACATTACGCTCAGATATATGAACAGATCTGGTAAAATATTAATCATCAAGTTTAGCAATCACGGAATTTACACTAACAGTGTGATGTTTCATCATTATTACTAGATTATCTATCATTAGTCAATGTATTGCATTATTTTCCCGTCAATACACCATATCCATTAATGGAAGCCCTAGTGCAAACCAAAAACACATACCCATACAGAAAACTTGACATTTTTATAGGCGACTGTCTCCACGTTAAAGCCCACTGTTGGTATAGTCGTTACATTCTGGCCTAATTTTATCTTATATAGAACAGCTGAAAACAGGTTAAGGATGACAATACATCACACTCAGATGAACATGGAAAAACTGTTATCAATTATGGAATTCTTGCTGTTATAAAAATGTTTGACAGAGTAACAAGTTTTTTATTATTATTTTCAGCTCATATCAAACAGACTGTATCGCACACATGTTTTACTTTAAACAAAATTAAAAGACAAATTCAATGAAAATAGAATAAATAACTTTTCATAACATTTCAAGAGCTTAGCCCAAACATACAACTAGAAAAACATTTTGGCTCTACATGAGCCTTTTGGAATACAGAAAACTAAAAAGTCTAAATTCTGATAGCTGATGTTCAACATATTATCGTCATAATGTTGGAAGTCTAGAAGGATACTTGTTTTCCCTGCTGCATCTAGACCAAGCATCAGTATCCTCATTTCTTTATTGCCAAAGACCTTTGACATTAACTTTCCCATCTTGAAATTCTATCTGGAAAAAAAAATCAAAATAACGTTTTTATGCATTTTGAATAACATGCATTAAATAAGTACAAAATGTTCTGACCATCTACTTTTGATTCAATTTTTATTGTCTTGTTTGCAGTACCCACATTCATCTGTGACCAGACATAAAATTGAAGCATACATAAATAGTCTGATTCCTTAAGACATTAAACATTCAAAGAAAGTGAAAATAATAATAGATTGTAAACTGGAAACACTATTGAAGACTATGATAATATGGCTTCAGTCAGTAGCACACACAGTGAATACACTGGGAAAAGTCTTAAAATGTCTGGTTGGATTCAGGAATGACTAAATGATGGACAAACTTAAACAAGCTCTGTTTATCCATGAGTCTCATTGTTGTGTTAATTATTCTGAAGAAGAAAGATGACTTGCATATTCATTGCCATGCAACCCAAAATATTGGTGAAATATGTGCGTCATTAAAATATATCTCCAAACAAAGATCTGTCAACTTTTACTCTGCATTTTCAGCCTTCTGGGTATATTCACGTCAGTTGAAGAAACAAAACCTTCATATTATATCCTTATTTGCAAATTTAGAATGTAAAATCTGGACCCCAAGGTATACAAGTCAAAATATGAGTACACTGTCTGCTGAAAAGAAACAATATCATCTTTATACTTTAACCTGAATTTAAATTCCAGAATTCTACTGCAAATTTTCACAACTACCAGACCATGAAAATGAAATTTGGAGGACTTGAATTGTACATCCCTTCAAGACCATTATTTGTACAACCACTAATTATATACCTGATGTGGTAGCATTAGTCAATATATTAACCAATATCACCTGATATAACAGTTTAAATCATTATTTAGAATTAATACCATGTAGACAGACTTGAGATATTTTGTAAGGCAAGACTAAAGACACAAAACAAATGGGCCTTGTATGCGTGATGATGTCATAATTAGTAAAGGTAAGGCAAATGAAATTTATCAGTTAGAGTAACATTCGACATCGCAAAGGTCTGACAGAAAAGACAGGATGTTGTTAAACATGTAACGTTGCACACAATTCAACCTAGACAGAAGACGAAAATCTGACTAGACCATTTGATTTGACAGAAAATGGGTGTAGGCCAGAAGTGTCATTTGTCGACTTACAGAAGTGTACAGGACTAATTCGCATATCATAGAATAAATAGATACCATTTGTAACCGGTATATATTTATCTTAAGCGACATTGATACAGATTCACATATACCAAGATATCAAATTTCAGAAGTCAAACTAAAAGCGGAAGCTACGAGATAAGTCGAGCTGAGATTTGAACGTTTTGTTATTTTTGTGATCACACCTACCTGGTATACACGTAAAGTTGCGGATATCTACGAGCCTAATGACGGCTCAACTTTGAGAATAGGGTAACACAGTGACCTAATTATTCATGAGCAATTATTACACGTCTTATTAAACAACAAGTGATGAATATACAGCAGGTGCATATCTATTTGGGTCCATCTCTCATTTTAGCAGCGATGGCGTGAATGACCTCAATGATATTCCGCAAAATGGCGGACAAAAGTAGTGCAGATAAACCGAACACCAAGTTAGAATTGATACTTCCTAAATAACTTTTGAAATATAAAGGCAAGATATAGCAATGAGGTATTACTTCAATATATTGAATATTAATTCAAATTACTTATAAGTTAAGATGTCTAAAATGCAGCGGAAGAATACACAGATTCTGAACCGGTCTGCATAACAATCTCGCGAGATTTCGATGACAAATCAGCGGCTATTTTGAATGTTTTTAGCCCGAGGCAATATTTTGTTAAAGCCTAGAGGCGATGCACACAGATCCAACTTTACACAAAGAAAACGCACTTTAATTATTTCAATAGCAAGTCATGACTGAATAAGTTCTTTTTAATGAAGCAAATTTGGCTTTGAGCATTTAGAAACAGACTAGTAAATCTCCCTTCTGGCATTTTTCCACTGTTCATCGCTAGCTGGACCCATAAACTATTTCATATTAGCGACTACCGGTATTTCCGATGGACCTCGTTTCTTTGAGTCCTAGAAAAAGTTCTTTGTGAATGCCAAAGTTTTATCGTTCTGAATTTCACGGTGATTCTTATATCTCATAATAAAACATCATGAAGATGCTCAGTAAGCAATGTGTTAGGTGAGTTTCCAATCTAGTTAATGTCAATTCGCCGTTATTAATTATAGAACGTCATTCCAGAGACTTTACACAAAAGTAAATATGACAATGTGTTAGGTGAATTTCCAATTTAGTTAAAGTCAAGGTCGACGTTGTAATTTATGGGACTATCACACTTATGACCAAACAGCTCAGTATAAAACAAAATCATGGAAATTCCAAAGTCACCTCTATCATGAATAGATATTAGCCGAACAATAAAATGTGTAGATGTATGGAAGCGGAGGAATTTAATTCTAAGGACAGAACTTTACAGAAATGTCTTATCAATGGAGAAATACAGAGTAGATAGAGAGATCCATTAAGCGACGCAACCATTTACAACATGTTAGACATAAGGAAAAAGAACATTCACACAGGTTTTTGTTGACCATTAGCTTTAAGTTTGTTTTCCCACCACAAATGTTATGTATGTATTTAAGGAGTAAAGTCAATGTCACATGGAATTATTTAAGATATTAACGACAAATGTACAAGTTAACATTTATTATATATAAATGTCGTCATTTTATATGTAATAGATATGAACTGTATTGCCACAGGGGTCGCCTACCCGACCTCGTTGGGCTTTCTCCGAGTAATCTGGTCAACTGTCATAATAATTCATCTTACGTGGTAACCCTTGACCGGATGCAATCAATACCCGGATGGTCACGGAAAATGAAACCACAATCATCTTTGTATGAACACTACCATGCTTTAATCTTGATTTAAATGTCATTTTGTTATTCTTGTCATTGATGCTATATACATTATATACATGAACTTGTATTGTTGAATTTACTTACTTGATAAGTGCGTGTGAATTTGCCGTTGATATGCGATTATACAAGTTAAATGCCTGTTTTTTTCGCCATTGACATGTAGGACTTAAAAATTATTTACAACATTTCGATAAATACAAAAAACGGCTTTTCACCTATGATTGCCAAACTGGTAAAGAAATGACTACCAGCTAATGACATGATTTATTTACTTATCTACTGTGGACTTCTGTCTTCTAAGGTCTGTCCTCCCTGACACACGTCTCTAGGTCCTGGATAGAATATGAGAATATAACATCAATATTTTGAAAATGAAAGGAGCGTGAAGGCTATGGAATCACATATATATCTAGCAGTAAGCAGCATATACCAAGCAAGTGTGTTCGGTTCTATTTTGTTTGTAGACTATCTAATAAATTACCTGAAATTTCAAAATCCCAATCCCAAGCATTTACGGAAGATACGGAACTTGATAGGGGAATTAGAAGTAACAATGGTATAAATATATGCAAAATGATTTGAATAAAACCCTACAGTGGTCAGCAAAATGACTACTTCAATATCGGCCAACCTAATTTCTATCAATTAGATAATTAGATCATTCTTTTCTTATTCAACGACTTCCAATTTGTACATCAAAGCAACATCCTCACCTTAGGAGATACTGTCCTCATATAGGTAGGTGGAAGAGAGAAGACGAAAATATTATTCTGCTGACGCTATTGAGATAGTAAGTTTATGTGAACATTTAATAAAAGTGGTTTTCTTGGCATTTCATGCATTTTCAGTGTGTTGTGAGATGTCAGTGATACAAGTCGGAAAACTATCTATTAATTATTGTTAGTTAAGCTGTATTAAATACAAAACATGATTACATCGTGTTCTAGTTTGTAATAGATGATTATTGCTGTTGTTTAATGGTATACCTGTATTTAAATAAAGGTAAAACTTACTGGCCAATACTTTTGACATATAATATGACAATACCTTATGTTTAAACTTCAAATAGTACTTAAGTCTTGTTTCCGCCTAATTTCTCAGTTTTTGTAATTATGAAGATTTTTTTACTCTCTTGTAAAGTTTTACCTTTTTATGATTTCTTTCAGCTTGGAGTACTGAAAAGGCGGACCACATTTTGGAAATTATTTGAAAGTTGTTAACACTTAACATACGGGTGAAAATATTGAAACTACTATTCAAAATATCTAACTATTAAATTTCAATTCTAAAGTTACGCTCTTTTTTAAGTTTTGTTTTTCTATTATCTAAAATTGGTGTTGTGAAAAGGCTGGTCGCAGATGAATGAAAAATATTGAAACTACTTTTTTCAGGCACTTGCAAGACCACAAATGTGAGATATCTTTTGTCATGTCATAACATGTCAAAGACGTAACTGATATACCAAAACAATTTTGAAATACTACTGGAAGCCTCTAATCATAAGTAAGCTAATAATTATATATTACAGTATAATTAATTGATATGAACATGTGTGCTTATAGCCTTCGTCCTTTATTAGTCAATTTCCAATCCATTCAATATTATGCGCCTCTGACTCGAACAACCCTGAACCACAGGTACCAGCTCCTCTGTGAAGACACTCCTTTGAACTCAAGCAAGACTATTTCAAAGCGTGACTGCAACTCTGATACTATCAACCAATCAAACGCCTGTGTGTTTAACAGAGAAGAAGCCATTTTGCCTGCGTCGAGACACGTAAGCCTTCGAAAGTAAATAACATGCGTTTAATTTTTGATAAAGCATTAATATAAATTCTTTACAGTTTAGCATTGAAAGCATTATCAAATTGCTTGTAAGTTGTTGGTAACATTGCATTGGCAAATGCACCGCGCGAGTTTTACAAACGATCAAAAATAGCAAATCGAACATGGCTGCCCGACTCAAGATTTTGATCAATCAATACTGATCTCAACGAACGGTTGAACATTCGGTGGGACAAAATTATTATGATGATTTATGAATGTTTTTATCGTAGGCGTGTATTTGTGTATGTAATAAATGTCGCATTGTATATTCTATATATAGATAAATTTACTTATTCGTCACGTTGTCTCGCCATCCCCACTTCATTAGGGAACTGAAATACCGGCAATTATTCAAGGCATCAGTCCCAGGAGTTGTATATGCTGTATTTGGAAAGCACCTTTTTATCTAAGTTAAGAAAATGAATTGATCAGCTGTTTGGTTAAATTTTAAGGATTTCGGTATATTTTGGGAATTGGGCCATATAAGTTGTATTTTGCGAGAATGAAGAAAGACAAAAGTGAATTATTTTTATCCTGCAACACTTCTCAGGTCTGGGAAAACTGATAATTTTTCGTAAGAAAGCCACACGCCAATTTGTGCAGAAAAAGCTAGTTTGTGTATTATACACAAATTTGTGGTTTTCCCGCGAGCTGCTTATTGTCCAATGGTTTGTAAGGGCTATTCAGTCTTCATCTACCAGACATTGAAGTGCTGAGTCTTGCCTGAAGAGGCACATCAAAATAACTGCTATGCTCAGAAATACAGTTCTTAACTTCAATGGATTTAAACAGTTTTCTTATTTTTTGAATGAATTTTTTTAAGTAAATCAGAAAGTTATTCTGTACAGATGTTTTCAGTGGTTTGCAAATGCAGCAAAATATGTGTGACAGGTGTAGTACAGAATCAATATTTATATATTGTACAAAGCTGAATGTAAATCTTGAGGCTAACCAATCATGTTGTACAAAGTCTGTAAACCTGTTTCATGATATCAAAAACTTTAAAAGTTAGTCCAGAAGACAGGTGATTGGGATAAACCCTACCTAACAAGCCATTTGCTGCGCTAGACAAGAGTATGAATAAATTAAGTAATGGTTGAGATATCGTATTAAAGTTATAAAAAGGTCTCATGCCTGTGAAAAGACCATTGGAAAATAATATACAATATAGTATTCACATTGTAATTGTATATCTGCTTGCCCCACTCCAGAAGAACTAATAGTGTTGCACAGGTCCCACTAGGCATATTCTCTACCATTATGTAAATTAGCTGAATTGGTCTAAGAGAAAGCTTGATGAAGTAAATTGTAAATTTAATTTTGCAGGAAAATTTACAATGAGTGGTCGGTCAAAAGAATGGACACTGTCCTGCAAGGTATATGTAGGTGAATTGGGGAATAACGCCAACAAACAGGAATTAGAAGATGCATTTGGTCAGTATGGAAGACTAAAAAATGTCTGGATTGCCAGGAATCCTCCAGGGTTTGCTTTTGTAGAGTTTGAAGATGCCAGAGATGCAGAAGATGCATGCAAAGAATTACATGGAAAGTAAGAAAGTTTATTTGATTTCATAAAAAAAGGGTCACTAATTGTACTGATATTACTATCATTTCCACCAATAACAGGAGCATTGCCTGACTCTAAATGGCTTCACTGATTAAATCAAATTCTGTAGTACATGTACACAAGTGTGTATCATGTAAAACCTTGATAAAATACTTCATGCAAACCTTTCAGAAAACATTTATGTGACTCCTGTATTTTGTCTTTGAGACCTTTTCACAAAAATATCTGCTTACTTAAAAGTATTACATTCTCTCATTAGAAATCAATCATCCTCACAACTGTATTTAATAATGCAAAGGAATTTGTATCAATCGTTAATGCAGATATTTTTACAATTTAGGCGACTTTGTCGATCAAAGGTGAGAGTTGAGATGTCACATGGAAAGTCCCGTTGGGGTAAGGGTGGCCCCCCTGTACGTCAATATGGAGGTGGTGGCAGCAGAGGAGGACGAGATAGCAGAGATAGCTACTGGCGACCAGGAACAAGTCGGGGACGATCTAGGTACAAATTCACATTTCAGAAATAACTGAACTCTTACCTCATTTCCTGTGAACAAGTCATCTATCCTTCATCTCACATACCATATTTGTTTTGTGTTTTGTCCTAAATGTGTTCTTGGTAGGAAGTTGGTGCGTCTGTACAATCCTCTTCATTTTCTGTTCATTTAAGACTTGTTGTGTAGATATTTTTCAAAAGTAATTTATTGATCAAAAGTATTTAAAATTCTGACTTGTGATTAACACCTGTCTTTCCTGCATCTAGAAGACCTGATTTTTAATATCTTTTTTTTTTCATTTTCTTGAATTTGTTACATCAATTTTATCAATCAGATTGAAACTCGATGTGAGAAAGAACAATCAATTTTTTTGTTAGAATTTTAAGGTATGCCTTTTCAGTTGTTTTCTCCTGTTGTGTTATAGGCATGTATCATATATATATATATATTTGATCATCAGTTGTTAGTCTGTTATCATGTCAGAAACACACAGATAGCATAGGTGGGACCTGCAACAGAAATAATTGTACATTAAATCTAAATTTTTGCTTCTTACCATACTTATTGGAAATTATTTATTTATGAAAGACTATTAGTTTTCAGTTTTAATTGTAAACATGGAGAAAAAAGAATAAACAACATATAAATGATAGGGTTTGATAACTGATGAACAGAAGTAGAAAAAAATGGCATGGGTGGTGAGAGAAAGATTCTATAAAACAAAAAATTGGCACTTAAATTGGCCCTTTTTTTGGTGAGTCATTTAACAAGTCCAGATTGTCAAAGTGAACCTATGGCATGGTAGAATGTTCGTCTGTCTCCTTTTAATAAACATTGTTATGATTCTTTGTTCAGAAGTGCTGGGTTATGATGAAATCATGCTTCAATAGGACATGATAAAAGGTATCGTATTATTAACAGGTATTCCTCCTTCAAATACCTATGCAATTTGCAAAAAAATTTTTTAGATACTTCTACACAACTTCCAGGTAAATTTGTTTTAGGAAAGTTTACTTTTGTGAACTTTTGTATACAGATTAGGGGCTGATTACTTTTGCAGGTATATTTTGAACTTGTATGTTTTATAAGAAATAATGAGAATGCTACAGGCACATTCATATTTGATTAACTCATTTTTCTCTGGTTCTCAGGATTGTGAACTTGTAATTTCTCCTGTTTTTTTTTTTTTTTTTTCTATATTTAATGAAGATATCAATACAAACTAGGTGAGCTATTCAAGCCCATAAAGGGGGCTTTAGATTTATAGTTTATCAAAGTGACCTCATGGGAAGATACCAAGTGTGTCATGTTTAACTGTCCACCTCATATTTTTTATTTTTGTTTTGGTAAATCATGCTATTAATCCCGATATTCTGAATATTTTCCCCTTACTTGAAAGAAGTTCTTACATTTTGTGATTTATCTATTTGAGATATATAAGATATTAATTTAACGGAACAATTTACAGGCCTTTCCCCATTGATGCCATTGGACAGCTTCACCTGCCAACAGCATCAGTGCAGTGTTTTACACTTACAAATCAACTCTCCTCCCACCTTCGCCGCCCAGCCTAGCTCAGGCACACACCTTAGGCATCTCGCCAAGAAACAACGTTTTGTTTCAATTCTTCAACGTACTACGGCACAGCAAATCAGCAATCTCTCTGACAAGCCACGTCGTAAATATCATCAGGTGCTACAGTACAGTAAGACAACAAAGTCTTCCAAAATCCCGGGGAGTTGTCTTCAGCATTCTGCCCATCATCAATCCGCCTCTGCATAGTTCGACTCTGTCACCACACGATTAACACAACTGATTGACTATTGTGCAGCGGCACCAATATGACAATTGTCAATCATACGTGTAGGTTCCTTCCACCATCAATCAACTTATCTACAGCCCTCTCTTCGCTGTTCGGCTTCGGTCCTCGTTCGCTCCATCATTACCACAACAAACAACACTTTTGTTCACCCTCAACTTTAAGGCCTACAGGGCAAACCACTTTTCCCAAATCTGTCCAAAATCTGCAGTCACCGTGCGTCCGTTCACCAGGGCTACAACCGTCAGTAGACATCATCGATTGATGACAGCGCAATGGTATTGGGTACAAATCCAGTATTATATGTCATTCATGTTTTGTTCTAACTCATCATTCCACGCTTTTTTTTCTACTAACCTTTATCTTGCTGCATTTGTATTTGTCATTTTCATTCCTTTTTATATATCTATTATTTTATTGAATTATTACCATTTATGTGTTTAATTTATTGCTTATTAGTTATAAAGTGATATGAATATATTGGTGTGGGAAAGTAGAATTGGAATTTGCTCTTAAAACTGTAATCAGCTTTATTAGTTTTGTTTTGCTGAAACTGACATTCTGGATTTTTAATGTACTATTTCAGTATTGGTACTGTATTTATTGCTTAATTTAGTTTTGGGATAATGTTTTCCTGCAAAAATTGTTTTGTTGATATCCTACATTATTGCTATCTCACATAGACTACACTCATTTTGGGGTTTGAGGTTATTTACAATGGCATCCACATTTCCTTTTCAGTGGTTTTTAGTACTGAGTAGAAAAATTAAATATGGAGTGCTTATTTTTGTGGAAAAAAGTTATAATTGCCAGTGATCACTTAGAAGGTAGTGCTACTGATTACCAAAAAAGAACAACCAAAATGAATGGCCTATTTTGTATAACTGAAGCAAACATTCTGATTTTTCAAGAATTCTATGAAAATAGTGAGACAATAGATCATGTAGTTAGTTTTTTCCAGAAATTGTAGTCCTTTGTATTTATCCTATCTTTCCTTGGATATGGTTTTATTTACAGATGGTTAATTAACTGCTAACACATACCCTCCCACTGTTCAGGTTTTTTTTCTTGCTCATATGTTATTTCAATTCTTGCTATGTTGATTCAAATTCAGATCTTAGAGCATTTTGGAATAGTTTTGTTTAATTTATAAGCAGTTAAATATGTCATATGTTTCATAATAGAAAGAAATAAGGCAGATAAGAAACGTGACAGTAGACGTTTAATGCTGGACTTGATATTGTCTTAAAATATAAGAATTATGAAATCTGAATTATCTAACAGTGGATTTCCTTGTTTTGACTAACAAAATCCTCTTTTTACACAATTCATTACTTCAGTCACATCAATAACACAATGTTAACTGCGGTTGGAGAAAGGGAGTGTTACCTTCTCAGATGCACTGTGTGATGTTTTCCTGGATTTACCTGCTTTTTTTTTTACTTGTGAATATTTAAATGAAGATTTTGGAAATTGACTATAATTTTCATTACAGGTCAAGATCTCGATCTCCACCCCCACGTAGGAGGTATTCCAGAAGCAGAAGCCGCAGCAGGTAAAGTTAACAAATTAGAGAATTCTTATATGACTGCTAAAACTTCTAGAGATAACATTAACTGTTTATGTCTTATGAGTAAAAATATCTGTTTCATCTTGGGATAAAGATGCCAGGTTGTAAATGTTTATGAAGTTGTAATTTTGAATATACAAAAATGTATTACTTTTAAAGAGTTGGTCAAAACTCTAAAAAAAAAATCATGTTCATTGTTGATAGTTAAACCTGAAAGTATTTCCTAAAGTGTCTGAAATATTTTCTTTGTCAGATTCAACTGTGTTGGTACATACAATTAATGTGGCAGATAAATTCAAAAGTAGAAGCTTTAAAACAACACAAGGGAGATCACTAGTTTGTAAAAAGAATTTTACAGATTTCAGGATTTTGTTTAATTTTTAGATTAGTTTTTTATCAACTTTGACTATTAGAAGGGAATAGTGGTTTCTTTTGATATCGGCAAAAAGTTGATTAAGATTTTCTACTTGGATTTGGTTTAAGTTATATCTAGGTAGAAAACATTTTTTGATGTATTTTAGTTTGCCTATGACAAAACTTTTATCAAAGCACTTTGGTTTGCAGAAAATATTCTAGAAGCAGTAGCAGCAGGTAGGCTTAGTTACAATCACCTTTGTTTGCTGGAACAGTTAGCTATCAAATGTTTGCTGGTTTCCCTAGAACATCGTACCTTGTCTTGTGGTCAGCTGGGATTCTTCAATCAGTCATTTCTTGTGATGTTCTTACAATACTGAATGGAACCAACTACAAATTTATTATGAAATATTGACAAATAACAGTTTCTTATCCATGTGTTGATGCAGATGGCTGAACAAATTACCTGCCATTTGTTTTTGTATTAAAAAAAAAAAGATTGATGCCACTTTATGATGCCACTTAATGATACCACTTTATGATGCCACTTATGGCTTGAAAATGTTCCAGTTTCATTGTTAATGGTACAATGTGACTAATGCCAACAGGTTGGACTATTCTGCTTATGATGTTGTATAATGTGAAATGTGTTGTGCTAGAAAGCTTTACGGGATATGGATTTGCCAAGATTAAATTTTCACAGTTATTTTTTTATGGAGACTGGTTAAATATGTAATTGTTTTTTTTTTTTACTTTTCAGTTTGTCTTTTAAATGTTTAAGATCAAAAACTTCCAACCAATTAATAATAATATTAATTAATTTCAACATAGTTTGGCTAAACTGAAACAGAAACAAAAAAAATCTTGTTTTACACAGATACACAACTGTACTGCTACATGGTGCAGAAATTGATCACCTGGTACATTTAAAGAATCAATTGTTCACACATCTAATTCCAGTCAATTTTGAAAGTTGATAATACATAGATATTGTATGTAATTTTCTATTTTGCTCTAATTAATCACTTGTAACAAATGATATTCAGGCTTAATTTATGAACTAGTTTGATTTCTATGAACTAATTTTCTGGTAAGAAAAGATAAAATATTATCTCTGCATGTAATTAGTGTTTTACCTGCTGTCCCTAATACACAAATTACAAATGAATTGATGATCTTTTATCTCCTAACATGGTCATGCCTTGCATCCGACTATAGTCTGAGAATCTAGGCAAGGTAATGGGTCTGTCCCCAGACTGTGACACACAAATTTATCAACATCTAGCAGGGGCTGAAACCAAACAAGCAAAGTCTTAATGATGAAAATGTTTCAGGCAACTGGCATTTTAAAATTATTTTATTTTATTTTTTTGGTTTCTTGATCATAAAATGCAGCTGATCCCAAGCACAGATATAAATAGTACTGTATTAAAGAAATTTTCATAGAATGTTTTGGTTAGGAACCCCATGCACCCATTTACTAGGGGAAAAGATAAACCGTCCCATCATTCTTTATTTGTGAATTAAACTTGTAAAAAAAAAATGACATTTGTATTTTCTTTGCAGGTCCAATTCTCCATACAGACGCTAATTGGTGCCAAGAGGAGGATAGGGACACTCAGAGTTAACAGAGTGATTGAATTGTAATGTCGCATTTTCTAAGTCATGGAGCAGTTTGTTATCAAGGACAAGGAATATAAACATTTGACAAGTAAATGTCAGCATTTGAACATTGTTTTGAAGACTTGTGAAGTAATACACTGCTAAAGCATACATTTCCCACCTGTGATGTAGGCCAGGCTGAATAACACATCACATTACTGGGGCTGCTCCAACAATACCTGGCATGTGTACCACCTGGAGTTTTTAGTCCATTGGATGTTTTAAATATTACATTGTAATAATTGCTGATAGTTGTGTATTTTACCGTAATCCAGTAATATCATTTATCATCAAAATTAATGGGCTACTGTTGTACTTAATTGAAAAATCAATCAAAATATTTCAGGATTGTGTGCTTTGTTAACATCTGCAGTTGGGTTTTTTTCTCTTTGCTTTGCAGATGATCAAGAGATTTATAGTATCATTGTTATCTTTGTTGCTAACTTTGGGTTCTGATACATAGAAGTGAAGTACAACCATCAGTGTAAACCTTTTTGTATAAGCTAGAATTGGCATATTAGTGTATGTTAACTATCATCATGTTTCATCTCCAAATGTTAAAATATCATATAAACCCACGATAAGATGTACAAAGCAAGGGTTTGTGTCTTTATGTGGATCATGCATCAAAAGCCTGCTGTACTAGGGACCTGTATTGAAACTGATTTTTTTGTTTTAGTATATTGTAATGTAAGCTGGAGTGAATGCAGTTGTTTTGTAAAGTCTAGTGTTGGAGGTACTATATATTTATGATATTTGTTTTTAACCCTATCATTATGTACTTTTGTCATTCTAACATGTTTTTGTCAAGTATTTTAATTGAGAAGTAAACTAGATTATGTATTTCTCAAATCTGTCTATTTATTTCATTGATTAAAAGTATTGAAGGAAAGATTTTAACCTAGGGATTTATATACATGGACACATAATAAAAAGGAAATTAGTTTGGTTAGTTTAAATTGCTGTTATTTTAGATACAAATAAAATCAAGAATTGCTCATGCTTCTTGGTTAAAGGGAGAACCTTGTATTTTCAGTTGTTTCTGTTCCAAAAAATAAGATATTTTGTTTTAAATTTATATTGAAAAAGCTGGACTTCAAATTTTGATTAAAATTTGGATACACAAGGAAAACAAAACGTCATCTGAATCTTGAACTTAAGGTATCTCTTTGAAATGGCTGATTCCAATGAATATTATACAGTGTCATGAGCGTATCCTGCAAGTTGTTGTGCAATAGGATAATGGTATTGGTAAGGTTGAATTTGTGCCTTGGATTTCGATGGGTTGGTCAGTACATAATGATCATAGGACATCTCGCCTACTTATTTAGCAGTTAGAAAATTTCATTCCAAAATTTAAACCAAAGTAATTTGTTGATTGTCAGTATTTTTGGGTGATTTCATTAGAGATGGTAACCCCTAATAGACTCTCTACTGTATGTTTAAAACTAGGGTATATATTGTTTAATCCTCTTAACATAATAGGATCTTATTTAGTTGATATCAAACTAAATAACTGTTGGTTTAAACAGGTGCCAAACCCCAACTTCCATGTGTGTATATCAAATGACCATTGTAAAAAAAGTTGTGTAGTGGCAATGTAATGGCTCTAAAATTACACCACATATAAGGACACTGATAAAAAGAATGTTCTATTGTTAAGATGTGTTGAAGTAATGTGTCCTTTTCCTGATTCTACAGTATATATATATATTGAATGACAGATGCTTACATTGTATATAAATCCTCATAATCAGTTCATATTTTACCAAGAGATCTTTAATTTGAACTTGAAATCTTTATTCAGTAATTGTTTGAATAAAAGTCGTGTATTAATATTAATCCGTGTGAATTTTTGTTCAACTTGTTTTAGTAAATGGAATTTAATTTAAGTTTGGAATTAGACTTTTTAAAAAAGAAATCTAACCCACTGAAGATCAAGCCAAGTTAAGGTAATTACAAGAGACCCAACAGGCCTGCATTGCTCACCAAGTAGTCAATTCTTTCCACAAGTACATTAACATTTTATAACCAAATATCATAATTCTAAAAGTAGTTTCAATGGAAAAATTACTGCCAGATGAACAATGAACATTGCACCATAGGATAAACTCACTTTGCCCTTCAGACCAGGTTAGCTCTAACAAGGTCTTTATATAAAGCTAACAAAGTTTAAATGGAATTGCCATTTGACCTTTGTTTACAGAGACATCGATTCATAGTGAAGGCTGGAACACATTTCGTTCTTTGCTAAATTGGATTCTTCCCCATATCACTTCAGGATCTGGCACTTCAATGTGGATCAAGTTTGTTTTCAACTTGTCTGCAGATTCTTTACTTGAAATCAAGCAAACCCTGGGTATTATGCTTGCTGTGAAGGCGAGCATTTATTGTGGAACCACTAATATACCTACAGACATTTCATCCTGGTACCTACCAAGTGCTGGACATTTATGTCTGGTACATATATGTGACATACAGTGTAAAGTGGTGTCATAATTAAACCTCTTGAAGTGTCTTCCTAATCAGATGAGTTGGTTTTGTTAAACAAGAATTTCGAGTTGAAAATCGTTTATATGATTTATGCAATTTTGACTGATCATGTATGAGAATGAGACCATATGACCACTCTGTGCAAATCCTAGTCTTTACTCTAGCTGCTTTATTTTTTTCAAGAATTTAAATCACACATCACACATGCAAAAAAAAACAAGAGGCCCAAGGGGCCTTAATGGTCACCTGAGGAATATATGTCAATAATCTGGAGATTTTAAAATGTTGCAAAAATGTAACAACATTTGTGCAAGACCGTGTGTAAAACATCTGTACCAAGTTTGAACATGATCCACCCAGTGGTTCTTGAGAGGAAATCCAAAATGTCTTAGCCAAACAGAGGCCAGGTTGGCCATCTTGGATTTTGAATCGCCCCAAAAAGTTAAAACACTTGCCAGGATCTTGTGTAGAACATTCATATCAAGTTTAGACATGATCAACCCAGTGGTTCTTGAGTCTTGACAAGAAGTTGAAAATGTCTCAGCCAATCAGAGGCCATGGCAGCCATCTTGGATTTTGAATCAAACCAAAAAGTAACAACACTTATGCAGGACATTGTGTTGAACATCTGTATCAAGTTTAGACATCATCAACTTGGTGGTTCTTGAGAAGAAAATCCATCCACTGGTTCTTGAGAAGAAGTCATTTAAAGAAGGTTTTTACATATGGCCCCTTTTACACCCCTTATGGGCCCCAAAGGGGACATTATCACTTTTTTCAACTTAATATCATAAGGGATGCTGTCTCCCAAATTTGGTTAAAATCGGTCAAAGTTGAATTTTCAACCCATTGAGCGCCCCCTAGTGGGGCCGTTTTTGACCCGATTTTTTTTTCATTCACAAACTTTGTAGACCTTGCCATAAGGACCCTAAATATCAAATATGAATTTAATCTGACTGTTGGTTCATGAGAAGAAGATTTTTAAAGATTTATCTAATTTTACCCCCTTTTTCCCCCCTCCTACGTGCAGTATTGTGGCCACACCCTTTTTCTTTGCAAACTTGAAGCGGCTTCCCATGGTTCTTGAGAAGAAGTCGAATATGTGAAAAGTTAACGACACACAACGACAGACAAATCATGATGGCAATAGTTCACCATAAGCCTTCGGCTCAAGTGACCTAAAAACCTTGGACAAGCTGGAGTTTGGGAATTATTTCAAAGTCACTGTGACAGTTTGTCATGGTACTTATTTTACAAAAAATGTTTTTCCTGAATGAAAGACCATAATATAGCAGAAAAAAGTTGTAGAGTGAAGGTGAAGGTCACTTGTACAAAGTTAAGCAAATCTCTCGGTTCTCTTGTGACTTCATTCATTGAGGAGTTTGGAGGTTCGGTGGATTTTGCTGGGGATTTGTATTGTTTTGAGATGTTGTGGCTAAATCATGGTAGCCTCTGTCCTGAGTGCTGTGGACAGAAACGAATATTTAAAAGTGTTGATTATTATTTTCTTTCTTTAAATTGGCAAAATACCAATGTTGTTTGACCTTCACTTTGATGTCAGCTCTCTGAAATGATAACAAAATTCACAAATCCTACCCTGTGACTTTTTAACCTCATTCTACTTCTGCCTAGAATATGGATCCTTATTTATATGAAATGAGGTATATAGTTCAAAGTGAAATGAGAGATCTGATCCAAATTAGATTAAGATTTAACCATTTACCAGAATTTCTTTATCAACACTTGAAAAAAGAAAAAGAAAGTGCACCAAGGTAGATGCAGATTTTCATAACATAGTAGAGTGGCATAACTTTTGTTTCAGACGTGAAAATCACCCTTTGTTTATTTCAGCTGTCCTAAGTAGGTATGAAACAACACAAATCAGGTTTAAGTAGATGTGAAACAACACCAGTTAGGTTTGAGTAGGTATGAAACAACATCAGTCAAGTTTAATTAGACGTGAAACAACACCAGTCAGGTTTAAGTAGGTGTAAAACAACACAAGTCAGGTTTAAATAGGTATGAAACAACACAAATCAGGTCTAAGTAGGTATGAAACAACACAAGTCAGGTTTAAATAGGTATATAACAACACAAGTCAGGTTTAAATAGGTATAAAACAACACAAGTCAGGTTTAAATAGGTATAAAACAACACAAGTCTGGTTTAAATAGGTATAAAACAACACAAGTCAGGTTTAAAGAGGTATAAAACAACACAAGCCAGGTTTGAGTAGGTATGAAACAACACCAGTCATGTTTAAATAGGTATAAAACAACACAAGTCAGGTTTGAGTAGGTATGAAACAACACCAGTCAGGTTTGAGTATAAGTATTAAATAACAACACAGACCTTAAAATTGAATAAAACCAAAAGGCTAAATTTAACATTTCAAACTTTATTTTCAATGAAGTAATGGAATGAGATGATATCATACAAGATTTAAAAGCCATACAAGTTCATCAACTGATGCAAGTCCGGATTTAAAATGGATTGAGAACTACATCTGGATGACCAAGTATCCTGAATATCCCTACAGTTACTAACAAAAAAACCCTAAGATATTTGTAAATCTGTCTTCAATAATGATTACATATACTCACAAACTAAAAACAGACACATATATCCCGTATAAAATCTAATCCAAAGCATGAAATTTCTGATTACTTTTGATTGATACCGTATAGCTGCTTATTTTAGCAGAGATGATATTTTTGTGATTTTGAGTCATTTTTTAAAATTTAACAGTGAAATATTAAGACACATGAAAATACTGTCCGCAATATAAAACATTTGTTTGAATGAAGTAACCAGTACTAACCTGCTTTAGCTTCTTCCATAATGATGGTATGATTTGACAAATGGTATATACACATTTTGATAACAGTTTAGGTAGCATTCTTATATATACGTGTTATAAACAAACACTTGTGAGCACAACAATGTAACACTGCAGAGCTGTACAGAAAATTTCACGCACACAGCTTGTCTATTCATGAAAATTTGATTTCAAATTTATGCCACGTTGCAAAAATTTTAATTCGTGAAAATTCATTTTCTTGATTTATGTGGAAATCACAAAAATTTTGCCTGTGAAAATAACCGACCATACAGTATACTATTTTATTTGAAAGCAATGCATGTATACTAATATCTTAACCTCTTGTAATCACAAGATGTATACTAATATGCCATGTTAACTTCTTGTAATCACAAGATGTATACTAATATGTCAACTTAACCTCTTGTTATCACAAGATGCGACAAACTAAAATTGACACAAAAAAAATTGTTATGAATCAAGAAATTGCTTTTACTCAGTAAGACCTCTATTAAAGTGTAGTAGCAATAAAATACTGTGTTTCCTTTTATCTTTTTTGAATGGGATAATTTCAGAAGACCAAGGTTATGTAAACTCATGAATATCATGTTTAAGGCAAAGATTGGATAACAGGATAATCCAAAATATCCTGTAGTACTGTAGTAGGTTGGTAAATCATCATCTGCTGCTTCTCAATAAATTATTAAAATGTAAATTGACTTAGAATTTTCATTGAAAGTAATAAATGATTTAAAAAAAATCCCTTTCAAACTTCAGTTATGTAATCAAATATCCTTATTTTGTAATTATTAAATTTTCTCCTTAAACAAATACAAAATTGCTCAGTAGGCAGTGCATCAACAGTCAATAAAATAATGAATAGTGTTTGAGACAAGGATGTAGGTCAAGGACCTCAAAATATCAATAATAACCAGTAAATTTTAAATAAAAGCCAGACTTTTCACATCACAAAATTAAAAATTTGTACTCTCCCAACTGTATTTGCATTCTGACAATTCAATTCAACTTGTTTCTTAAATCCATTATCTATTTTTAGTACAAATTATTTTTATCATGCTCGTGTGATCACAGCAGCTTTATCTATAGGTTGACTTATTTTTTGGTAGGGAAGGTTTCATAAAAGAAACATCAGTATATCGGTACTTCTTACCAGTAATTGTATTTCAATCCATCACTTCAATCAATGTAGAATTTCCTCTAAGACAAAGTACAAATGCATGTTCTATTTGATATACTCTAAAACAGTTCCAATATAAAAGTAGTAGTCCTTATCAAACTAGGGAATCTTCTGGTCACTTACAGAACAAAAATCAGTTATCTCCCTTACATAATGTAATCCATACTACGCGATCCTGGCTACTGTCATCTAGATTTATGTATGTGGTGTGGTTTTAGTTCTCTTATCAGATATACAATACTGAAATTTATGAACGCTAACTGAAGCAACTGTAAACTGATCCAACTGTTACCTCTGACAGCCTTTTATGACAAGGGTCAGTTGTGTCAAAATTTATAGACCAATGCTTAGCCTATAATTGTCAGTAAGGTGCTGTTAATCCATTGTAAATTTAGCACATCTAGAGATGTTCAATTTTCGTTACTTCAGCAAACAAACCATCCAACATTCAAATCATAACTCTCACTTTTTCTTTTGTGTAGTGACCCCAACTTAAGCCAAAATTACTACAGATTGGTTTCCTTCAAGCATATAGATTAATCTTATATGAGAAAAAGCAGTGACATTTTTACAATACCTTTCTAAAATGGCAAGAGAACAGCACAGGAATCTGGTATGAATTTCTAATCCCAAGTTTCATAGTATCATAAAATACATATTTACAAACAGTGAGCTTAGGATTTTTAGTTTCAAGACCCTGTGGTTTAATTGGTACATTCTGTAATATGTAAAATACCTAAATAAACTCTCTGTATTAATGTACTCATATTTCTTTTAAACATTCCTGTACAACTATCAAGAATTTATATTTGGGACAACCAAAAGATGGAGTCATGCCACAATTAAATCTTTTCAATATCAAAATCCTTTTAACAATTGTCAAATCTTGATTCTAAATATATATGTAGTGAACTAATATGACTATGTATACAGATTGAAGGTTTTTCTAAATTTTAATTGAGAGGAAAGAAAACATAATTTGCTAAGACACACGTGGCTTTGTTAAAATTGTAAAACAATGAATCAAATTCAAAATGATGTCTAACAAGATTGAAGTGAATTTCACTGATGATGCCGTCAAGGTCACAATTGATGAAGTTGAAGGTCACAGACAGACAGCTGTTGATAGTTGAAGTGATAAGATTTCCACAGACAGTGTACAGTTGAGCGTAGATGCACTTCTGAACTGTTGGTACTTTTGAAGTTTGTTGTTTGTATTGAAGTATAATGTACAGCATTACAAATCTTTAAACCACAACAAAAAGTCTTCTGTTATGTCACTTCAACATGGAAACACAATAATAATCAGGTGTCAAGATTTCCTTAAACACGATCTAGGTTGTGTGTGATGTCCCTTCTTAAAAATTCTGGTATCCAAAATTACAGAATTATGTACAGTACCAACCCCACCTCACCCAAGTTAACATGGTGAAGATGAAATATTTTCTTGTCACAAACTTCAAGCAATATGAACTGTCACATGATCATAAGGGGGTGAAGATTTCTTTCGATAGTTTTTTCAGGAGGGTATCACATTCCAAAATGTGTTACTTTCTCACATATCTGCCTGTAACACCTAAATGTTGATAGAATCTTGGGCATTGCTTGTTATTCTGTGTAAATATGTAGTCCTCAAACACTCTAACACTAAATGCATCACCGTCTTTCCCGATAGATGTTTTCAAATGGGGATTTCGACCTGGAAAAAAAAAATAAATGAAAAAATCAGAATAAAGAGAAATACATCTGAATTTCAATAGCAACTACAAATAAAATTCACACACAAGAGCTAGGAATTATACTGAGATACAAGCACATTTACAAAAGTGTACGTAATATAATACATGTATTTAATACTATCAATTTACATGACCCAGATTAGCAATTGAAATGCCTGTTGTTTAATGTCTTATTAATGAAAAAGTTTAAATACTACATATTTGTGATATTTCCAGAATAATACAAAACAATTAATTCACAAAGTCAAAATTGTAGATATTGGTTATTGTACATTGGTGAGATGACAGTTACAAACATGATAATGTGTGTTACTGATACATGTATCTTAAACAATATTCTTAAAACCAACAGTTTTTTTTCTAAAAATCAGATAAGCTTGTGCAACTGAGCGAGAATTAATGGACTTTAAACAATTACCTGGTACATGTAAAACCAGTTCAAAGAACCAGTACATTGTCAATGAAAAAATAGATTGACTTATGTCAGTATCAGCTATTTTAATACTTTCCCACAGCGAAGAATGCTGTCACTTAAGTCACTGAACCTTTTTATATGCAAATTTGAAACCTTTGAAGTTAGGAAATGGCCAGAAAGGGAAAATTTTTTAACAAATTGTGATAATACACAGATAAATTACCAATGTACTCGCATGTTAAATTAGTCAAAGGTTGTTACCATCTGAGGACCAAGAAGGAAGGTATTTGGGATTAACATTGGCTAATCTAAAAAAAAAACGACAACCGGCTCTAGTGGAGCCAAAGTATCTGCTAAAAAGTATCAAATTTGCCAAAATACCTGCTTAACAAATTACCAACTATACATTTACAAACTGACCAACTGTCATTGGTAGCGACATGACCATATCAACTGAACAGTACTTTCTGATAAAAAAGGCTAAAAAACTACATTCATATATAATTTTTGTCATTAAAAACAAAATTTGTGTTTGAATAGATACAAACAAGTTCAGATCCAACAGACAAAATAACAGGGTTCCTTTTGTCATCATAAATAAATAATCCTATGAAATATTATTATTCAAAATTTACATATCAGTATATTGACACCAAAAGTCTCATATACTGAAATCTGGTACACTAATGACATATTGTCGAATATATAAAAATATTGAGGGATACCTCTATAACTTAAAAGCCAATTGACCAGCCACATATACAAAATTTTGGCAGTATGAATTTCAATTACATTATTACTTCACTTGTCTCTGCAATGGCTCACTGTTTAGTGGAGTTGTTCCTCAAGTATCGTGTATCATTGAGTGATGTGTTTAGTTCACTTGTCTCTGCAATGGCTCACTGTTTAGTGGAGTTGTTCCCCAAGTACTGTGTATCATTGAGTGATGTGTTTAGTTCACTTGTCTCTGCAATGGCTCACTGTTTAGTGGAGTTGTTTTCCAAGTACTGTGTATCATTGAGTGATGTGTTTAGTTCACTTGTCTCTGCAATGGCTCACTGTTTAGTGGAGTTGTTCCCCAAGTATTGTGTATCACTGAGTGATGTGTTTAGTTCACTTGTCTCTGCAATGGCTCTCTGTTAGTGGAGTTGTTCCCCAAGTATTGTGTATCATTGAGTTATGTGTTTAGTTCACTTGTCTCTACAATGGCTCAGTTTTTATTGGAGTTGTTCCCCAAGTATTGTGTATCATTGAGTTATGTGTTTAGTTCACTTGTCTCTGCAATGGCTCACTGTTTAGTGGAGTTGTTCCCCAAGTATTGTGTATAATTGAGTTATGTGTTTAGTTCACTTGTCTCTACAATGGCACTCTGTTTAGTGGAGTTGTTTCTCAAGTATTGTGTATCATTGAGTGATGTGTTTAGTTCACTTGTCTCTGCAATGGCTCACTGTTTAGTGGAGTTGTTTTCCAAGTATTGTGTATCATTGAGTGATGTGTTTAGTTCACTTGTCTCTACAATGGCTCAGTTTTTATTGGAGTTGTTCCCCAAGTATTGTGTATCATTGAGTTATGTGTTTAGTTCACTTGTCTCTGCAATGGCTCACTGTTTAGTGGAGTTGTTCCCCAAGTATTGTGTATCATTGAGTTATGTGTTTAGTTCACTTGTCTCTGCAATGGCTCACTGTTAGTGGAGTTGTTCCCCAAGTATTGTGTATCATTGAGTGATGTGTTTATTTCACTTGTCTCTACAATGGCACTCTGTTTAGTGGAGTTGTTTCTCAAGTATTGTGTATCATTGAGTGATGTGTTTAGTTCACTTGTCTCTGCAATGGCTCACTGTTTAGTGGAGTTGTTCCCCAAGTATTGTGTATCATTGAGTGATGTGTTTAGTTCACTTGTCTCTACAATGGCTCACTGTTTAGTGGAGTTGTTCCCCAAGTATTGTGTATCATTGAGTGATGTGTTTAGTTCACTTGTCTCTACAATGGCTCACTGTTAGTGGAGTTGTTCCCCAAGTATTGTGTATCATTGAGTTATGTGTTTAGTTCACTTGTCTCTACAATGGCACTCTGTTTAGTGGAGTTGTTTCTCAAGTATTGTGTATCATTGAGTGATGTGTTTAGTTCACTTGTCTCTGCAATGGCTCACTGTTAGTGGAGTTGTTCCCCAAGTATTGTGTATCATTGAGTGATGTGTTTAGTTCACTTGTCTCTACAATGGCTCACTGTTAGTGGAGTTGTTTCTCAAGTATTGTGTATCATTGAGTGATGTGTTTAGTTCACTTGTCTCTACAATGGCTCACTGTTAGTGGAGTTGTTTCTCAAGTATTGTGTATCATTGAGTGATGTGTTTAGTTCACTTGTCTCTGCAATGGCTCACTGTTTAGTGGAGTTGTTCCCCAAGTATTGTGTATCATTGAGTTATGTGTTTAGTTCACTTGTCTCTACAATGGCTCACTGTTAGTGGAGTTGTTCCCCAAGTATTGTGTATCATTGAGTGATGTGTTTAGTTCACTTGTCTCTACAATGGCTCACTGTTAGTGGAGTTGTTTCTCAAGTATTGTGTATCATTGAGTTATGTGTTTAGTTTATTTGTCTCTGTAGTGTTATGCTGTTTAGTTCATTTGTCTTTGTAGCATTGTGATGTCATCCTATGTGTTTAGTTCACTTGTCCCTGATTGTCAGGTTGTTTAGTAGAACTGTCACTGTAAAATTGGAATGTTGTTGTGTTTAGTTCACTTATTGTAGTGTTTCTGTATTGTTAGGTTGTTAGCAAGTTATATGTGAAGTTGGCATTGTAGTATTGGGTTGTGTGGTGAATAGAGATTAGTTTTTTATGGTTATGTCAGGACGTGTGGAAGTACTTCAATCTGTTGTTTGATCCTTTTCAGGCTTCCTTACCTGCTTCTGCTGCGAGAGTACTTCCTGTACCTATCATATCTTGGTGGTGAACGAGACCTTGATCTGAAAATATATACAAATGTAAATACTTTGGAAAAAAAATTGAAACTGCCCTGTTTGCCCTATGTAATGAATTTCATGTTATTGAGAGAAACTGCAAGCTTTGACATAAACAGGAAACAAGTGGCTACCAGACTGTTTTCTGACATAATGTCATTCATTTGATGGTTATTCAGTACTCATGCTCTTGATTTTCAATTAATAATTGTGAGACTGATGGCAGATTAAATGTCATACATTTGACATATCACACACATTTTTAAAGCAATATATATCACTCAGATCACCATATTCAGGTCAATATATATAAAATAGCAAGATTGTCAAACTAGTTTATAAACATTTTAAAAACTCTCCTATGTAAACTAACCCTGAAATCCTCTTTTCTTTACTGGTTTATCATTATGTGCAACAGTAAAGAGAATTTGTAACTAATATTCTGCTATAGTGGGACAACATACCTCGAAAAACCTCCATTGTACATATGCTGCCTTCGACTATCACGACCATCTCTGCTATCCCTCCTACGGGTGGGTGGACCAGCGCTACCCCACCTCGACTTCCCACTTGACATCTCTACACGTGCTCTTCTGTGGTTGATGATTCTATCAAATGACAAATTATGTCTAAATATGTACACAACAATAGTGTTCATAGAACAAAATACAAAACATTGGAAATCAGCACAGACGTTGTTTGACATCATTTATAAATTAGAACTTTTAGTTATTGGGAAATGTTGCTTTTGAAAATCAATATCACTCAGAAATATTCTTGTAATAAGGATTTCATTTATTTGGTACAATGATGCTCCCTTCTGAAATCATCAAATACCAGGTACCAAACCATAGATAATACCAAAGATGAATCCTAGAGCAAAATACTAAATAAACAAACTTACTCGCCATCCATTTCATCAGCTGCATGTTCAGCATCTTTAATGTTGTAGAATACTACAAATGCGAATCCTGGCGGATTGCGAGCTATCCAGACACTCTTTATGCGTCCAAAGCGACCAAATTTGTCCTCTAACTCTTCTTTCACAGCTCCTCGTCCAATTTGTCCCACATATACCTTACAGTCCAAGTCCCCAGCAGATGAACTGCCACGACTGCTCATACTGTCACTCTCAAGGGGCCAGCCAATGCTAGAAGGCAAAGTAAACATATCAGCATCAATTATGTTCTGAATGTTTTACTGATGCATAAGTATAGCTACAATGTATGTATTCTGACGGCTTATATATGAAGTATGTAACATATGGAAACAAACTTCTATATCAGTTTTGAATTATCTTTATTACAGAATTACTGGCTTACAGCTAAACTGTTTAATCAATTAATGCAGTTAACGACAACAAACACAGGTAGATCACAAGAATAATTTTTTACTTTGAACAAAGACCTGGTTTGATTTTAATTGGTTAAAGTTGGTCTATTGACTCATATAAACTGCTATTGCTTCACTTACTTTGAATGAAAAGTTAAAGTAATTTTTGTACAATTTATTTTTGTGGAGTCCATGATTCAAAAATATAGATAATGATCCTAGTGTGTATTATTATGTTGTTTATATATGTGTGAAATGTCTACATTGTCACAGGTATATCATTTAAATTAACATCTTGATTTTGACAAATGGTACAAGTTATTTCATCAATTAATACTACATTTATCAAGACAGTATTGCTTTGCATTTATAAGTCACAAAACAATGTAAGAATTTTCGAATGCTACCAAGCTACCAGAAATCTATCACAGTGACAAAATAATGTCTGTTTATCACACTTATACAATTAATACAAAGAGAATTAGTTCTTGAGATTGTCCATAATGTGAACTATATATGTGAATAGTACATTGTATAACACTTTGACAATGTGCTCTCTCTCTTTATTATTTCTAAATATTGGTTTTTGGGTAACCTTAACCAGGGTTTGTGTGGGGTGTTTCATAAATAGTGTCATTTTCAGATTTCCTGAAAATAACTTGGGTCCTTAATGGTTGTAGCTATATGGCTGAATTCTGTATAGAGTTTGGTAAACCCGAATATATAGACACACTGTAAGTGTTATGGATTCATTCTGTGAACCGTGTATATATAAATAGGTTATTATCACAGTCAAGGTAACAAGTGGATGAACTATTAAGTCTTCTGATCCACAGTGCATTATTGTACCTAATTAAAATGTGCAGGCACATACTTTAAAAGTTCCTAACCAAGCATGATGTCAGCAAATTTTACTGTGTATATTATATCATCTACTTGTTTAATCCTTAGGTTTAAAGTGAAGCATGTATATGTCCTCATTTTTTTTTAAAGGGTACTCCAACAGTGTTCTCCATAGTCAGCTTGTATCATTTATGATAAATACATGTACATGCAAGTCAAGTAATATAAATAAGATCTGACACTTGTAAGCTATATAATCATATCAATTTACACCTATTGTGAAAGTTTTTTTGTATACCTCTGTTTGTGACTGTGTATGAAAATATGTTAACAATTTGATCTTTGACAGTGAACTTTTATAGGGTGTCAAACATTTGTTGTTTCTATGGTCAAAGTTTAATGAAGAAAGCTATGACAGTCTATACAGATTACTGGAAATCAATGGCAGCACTTGGGGATTGGGTATTCTTTTATGCCCATTAATCACTTCAGTATCTTGTTATTATCATACTCCAGTTATTACCTGACATGGCCATGAGTGGCGATGCCATTAATAAATGCACAGTATAAATAATTTTACAAGACATTTGTTTTGGACAGCAGAAGAAATTTGCATTGACAACAGCAAGGCTAATAAAGATTGTAAACATGTTTTGTGAAATGAATGTGACAAAAGATTTATAACATTATATTGAAAAAATCATTTGATTTCATTTGTAACAAGCAATTTCATTGGATCAAATGGAAAATACCAGAAATTGTATATTAGAGTCCTTTGTGTATCTGAGGAGACAAAAGAAATGACTTATATGAAATGAATAGGGCAAGGCACATCTGTTACTAAGTGATAGAAACACCTCAATGGCTATTATTTCCAAACAAATTATTTTTCAGGCAAGTCAAGTTCTATAAAGTAGTAACAATAAAGTCTCCATCATCATTTACTGAATGTCTGTATAAGTGGAAGTAAAGCCTGTTAAATAAATAAAAAAGTCTCCATCTATCACACAAACATAACTTTAAGAGAGATGTTTATTGATGATTGATTGAAACTCTGTCAGCATACACAACTTTGTGCCAAATTGTCAGATCAATTTTGGTGCTTGCAAAACTGGTGATTTCTTATTAAATCATGCACCAACACTAATAGTGTGATAGCTGAAAAACATTGTACCTAAATTTCATCAAGTGGACAAAGTACTCAATTTTGCATATAATTTGAATGGAGAATTTTTCTAAAATAATCCATGCTTAGCAGATGAACATGGAAACATTTACTCCACAAATAAATCAGATTTATGATCAAGTCAACAAACACATTGTAATTGGCTCTTGGTATAACTAGTGGTTTTAAATGATATCAGAAGTATGAAACTGTTTAGTGCATTTTGAAAATCTATGTGTGCACGTGTAATTCAGTAATTGTGTGTTATTTCCTATTTCCATGCAACATTTTATCGACTTTAAAAAAAATAGAGTACGCAGGTAAATCACGGAACAAATTCACAAACATGGAAAGGAAGTCTTTGTGTATAACCAAGCCGGCGATAACCGCGTAATATCCCATTTCAAGTTCAAATTTTCAGAGAGTCCACATTGAAACATCGACATAATAAATAAAAGCTTCTGCTGAGAAGTAAAATATCTAAAAGTTTTAAGTAGCCAGAGTTGCAGTGGATCAAACACACTACTCCACAATGTTGTACTTGCCCCACGCTTGGGTAAGCCTGGTCGCCAGCATGTATGTTTCAACATGTGGCGTGGAGGAGCCGAGGTGAAATCGGCATACTAGCAAAAATGAAGTATTTTTGGCCGATTTGTGGATCCTATCTGTTATCTAAACATACCAGAACCAAGTAAGGATAACTTATAAAGAAAATGAGTGGCAATATGTACTCAAAAATGCGAGAAATTGCAATCCAAATACATACCAACAAATCTAGTCCGGAAATGATAGGTACTGACTAAAATTGAAAGTCGCCGTAATCCGGATTCTGAGGAAGACGGACATTATAAAATGACAAGGCCGAAAACGAATCACCAGAATTTTAAGTTTAAACATTGAAGTTATATGGAAACCATGTAAAATAACTTCAAGTTTATTTTAATACTGCAAGAACTATAGATTACATAACAACGTGAATACTAAAAAATTCATTGAGTTACCTCCCCTAGGACGCAAACACAAATTTCTGTCTGTACCTCCACAAATAGTGGTTTAGCATTATTCTGAAGAAGGATGATTAAAAAAAAAATACAAAAACCTAGAAAGATAAATATATATTGACGATCAAAAATAATAAAGCTCTATGTATATGGGTCAAGTGAAAACCCACACAATTGCTTAAATGAGATAAACTTGTGTTCCGTGTTATCTCTATAATTTAGACTGGCTAGGAATTCCTATGATATACACACTACGCATACAGCCATGCGCAAATTCGCATAGATAAACATTAATTAAAGTGCTGATTGGGACATGAAACCCATGTATACATCTTTATATACAGGTGTTTGTAATATACCGATGACCTTTAAGAATTGAATAAGCATTTTTTTATTATGGAAACTTAAATGGTTGGATTTATTTTTAAAGAAATGCCATAGGTAAAACAGGAAAGGGTTCAATTCTGGGAAGAATTTCACCTAATTTTCATTATCATAGTATTGTTTCGTGTCTGGAAAAAATATGGAGATTATCAAAAATGATTTTAAACATGATTATAAATGTAACATGTTTCGGTACAAATTTGATAGCTGTCTTTGCGAACTCATTCGTGGCTACTAATTACAAAAGTTACCCCTATGTCTGTCATCATCAACATTGTGATACCCGGCCACCCATTAACATCCTAGCTGTTCCTCACTTGTCAAACATTATATAAAGCTTTCAGCGTTATACTACACTGATCAGGTTGGCTATTGCATGTCTTCTCTTTCTTGTATCATATGGCGGTTTTCATATCTGTGTGTATCCGATTTTCTCCTCATTTCTTTTCGTTTTTTAGTGTTCGACGAACCATGTAATGATTTTAGGTCCTATGGAGATCGCATTTCATGTAAAAGTATACTTTTAATACGTATTTTAACAGATAAGCATTTTGTTCCGATAAAAAGGCAATATCCAGTGAAAAAATGCGATTTTGATTACAGCAAGTGGCTTTTATTTATCGGAAACATGAGAAACGGACCAGATTTATTTGCCAAAAATAAAACGACTCCTTTCAGCAAAGATAGGAAACAGATTCACAGTATCTGCTAAGCTTGGTGCTTATTCTCCCGAATACAGATGGCATAGCATTACTGGATATTACACCTGATTAAAGTTCTATACAATACACGTTGCATCAACTTGATAATTAATGTTAAAACGAAAATCATACATCACAACGATTTGTAAAGTATCTAAATAAAAGTTTTCGGGTGTATTGTTCCAGGAGTCTTTTTAATTACAGTTTGCTGTTCAAGAATTTTGCTACGAATTTATTGTAAATCAAATAGGAATTTGTGGACCTAATAAACATAAAGAAGTGGTCATGGTCATGTCTATTTCCTTGGAGCAGCTAGACATGCAAGAAATATAGCCCTCCAGGGTGATATGGGATGAATTCGTGTGGAGTTAGTCAGTATACACAGTTAGCTTCGTTATATTTACGTAATAACTTGTGCCCAATTCCCTTGTTCAAATTTATTTTGGCAATAAAATATGTTTAAACTAACAAAATAAAAACTATGAAAAGGGTAGATTAAGGCATTCCGAATTCATAGGTGATCACGCGACCTTAGAAAATCCGGACGCTCGTGTGTTATGGGTCTTAATACAGATAAAAGACTAAAATTTTGAAGTAAATGTATCGCCCTATCAATAAACAGAAGAAATTAAAATGTTTTAATTATAAAAGAGACTGATGTGACAAATATCCATGTCTGATGATGGTATTAATATAAATTATTACGAACAACCTATATATACAG